TTGAGTATGACAGTAATATGAAAGGATCGGTGGTCCCAAACTTCTTTTGAGTAGTATATTATATCCAATGGTGAGCAAAAAACTTGAACAGTTTTCCATCCTACTTGTTAGTTAAAAGTATCCAACAACCATGTCTAAAGTTTTATGGCAGGTCATTTGATATAATTTATGTGATTCAACCTACCTTGCAATCATTGGTCATACCTGCTTTCATTCAGCATATTTTCTTAAAGTAGGCTCAGATATCATCTTGTAACTAACTATTATTTCCACCACCTATGAGCAACTGGTACCAGTGAGTGAATATAGTTTTACGCCCCTTTAAACAAAATTCCAGCAATATCATGGTGGGGACACCAGAAATGGGCTCCACACATTGTACCAATGTGGAAAATCAAACCCAGGATACCTTCGGCACAAACATGATAAAGAGCTGACACTTTAGATGCTATGCTTCCCCACTGCGTCATTGGTACTAATGATGAGTTATAGTTGTAGGCAGTGTTAGAAAATGAAAAAGTGTGTCCCAGGGAGTCCTTGAGCTTTTTGTCAACAGTATTTTAGCCTAACCTTAAATTTTTCATGAACAGGATTAGCAATAGGAAGGATCCTTTGACTTTAATCATAATCTTGAAAACTGCAATACAAGCTAGATCTTAAGGAATCCTGATTGACTTATCCACCTCAAAGGTCCAACAACTAGACATCAATCATACTCATTAAAGAAACCACCACTATGTCCACTTTAGGGCCGTTACGATTCACTCCCGTTTTCAGTGAATCGAACCATATCCATGAATTGAATTTGTTATTCGAGGCCTCTAGAATTGAATATGTATGACTATGCAATCATGTGCATTTACATGCCCTGTACCTAAATATACCCATAAGAACATATTATATACATAGATTTCATCAAAGAAAACGCTCTTATAATATTTAATTTGAAACTACTGTGGTCACTGGTCATTGTCACATTTGATGAGCAGATACTAGTACCTGGATAAGTGCAGCATATAAATGTATAATATATTAATAATTAACAAACCATGTTGAATAATTTATGTTGTTATTCACTGAATATAACAAATAATACACCAACTGCTGACTTGTTATTGTATTCCTGAATTTATATTCGTATTCGTTACCCCATATTCGCGATACGAATCATATTCACCTCATAGTGTATTTGTTGCAGCCCTAGTCCACATACCTATTTCTGTCACTGCTAAGGCTCAATGGTTCATGATGCCAATCATTAGATTCGTCATGTTTATGATGATATGGGTTGCACATCACATTATAATATTCACATGGTTTAACTCAGTAACTGGATGCAAAATATTGCACCCTATACCATGTATACTCCCAGTAATTAGAATGGACACAAATAATATCCACTGCTAGTAACACTGGATGCAATAGAGTATGATGTATGGCATGATTGAACCAATTTTAATTGAACAGCAAAAGAAACTAACAGTTTTAGACCACCTTGTAACGATAACATAAAGCAAAACCCTTCAAAATGGCAAATGTCTACTAGTCCTTATGATACCTTAACTATTGGGCAGTTTTGCAAAGACTATAGGACTAGTGCCAATTTCTAACACTGTTGAACAATGTTTATATGACAATACAGTAGAACACGGATATAACGAACACGGATATAGTGAACAAACGGCTACAACAAACTGTTAAAAAATCCCTGATTTATCTCCCATATAATATCATATCAAATTTACGTATATAACGAACTCTCTACAGTGAACTAACGGATACAGTGAACTGATATCTGATCACCGACAAGCCCATCTATCACTTATTAGTGACGTGTATAGCGAACTGAGAATTCTCACTCTGTGTCAAGTGTCACTGACAATTGGCTGTATGCAATCAGCGGCGAATCAATACAATCAGCGGATCAACCTTGTTAAATTTGCATTGTGTTAATCTTACCTGTACATGTAATGTTGTCTGTAAAACAAACATTAAACATATACACTGCTAATACAAGTCAATGCTGCAATTACATGTATTGTGTGTTTGTCTTATCCAAGATGGCGGACGTTTCCGAGCGAAAACGTGTATAACGAACAACAGATATAACAAACTGATTTCTCTGGTCCCTTGTAGTTTGTTATATCCTTGTTCTACTGTATTTCTGTTCTGATAAGCATGATAAGAAATACAATCACTGTTCAGACTGTCAATGTCAGAGTTTGTTCACTCAGTGCCCCATCTACAGTAAGCATAGGGAAGGCCCCACATATACCTTGTATTTTATTTGGTACAGTGGTCACCTTAGAACCACTAACCTAATAGCCTGGGACCCCAAAACTTATTGCCCTGAGTCTCCAAAACTCATAAATACATCGGGGCGGTTGGGTAGCCTAGTGGTTAAAGCGTTCGCTCGTCACACCTGGGTTCAATTCCTGACATGGGTACAATTTGTGAAGCCCATTTCTGGTGTCCCCCACCTAGATATTGCTGGAATATTGCTAAAAGTGGTGTAGATTCATATTCACTCACTCACTCATAAATACATCAAGGAAAACAAGGTAAATTAGTGTATTTTCATGAACATGGTGTAAGATTAGAATGAGTGGTTTAACACCACTATTAGAAATATTCCAATCCATCCGTATAACCATGATGACAGGGACACATTGGACAGAATGGTCCATAATTTGACTTATGCCCAATTATTAATGGAGTACCATACTTTTCACTAAATATAATGTATTACAGAAAATATGATACCTTTGTGTTTCATGTCATTGGTCTTTGACAACATAAGAGAAAGAAGACATTGTTATATTCAGAAACATAGAGAGATATAACTCACTATATTTTAGTTCATAGTTGGAAAAATGTTGATTTATAGATAAAAAATAAGGAATGGGAAATTTTGACAATTTCTGTTAAATTTACCAAAACATTATAATGTCTCTACTTTTCTTACACATGTTGACCAATATACATGATATATGGAACAAACAGACAAATCAATCTCTCAAAATAAAACAAGCTATGTGGTGTAAAGTCTGAATTTTGCGTTGTTATATTTTCAAGCAAGTACAGTTTCCTGAGCACAACATTATCACATCTTATTTATTTCACTTGATTCTATCTGGGCCATCAGTATTACTCTTAGTGATAAAGACATGTCATTTGATGACAAACTGATGGGGAATTCTGTCTAAGCCACACATGTAATAGACATCTCATAACCGGCATATGTGATTTTGTAAACACACGATCTAAGATGACAAAGTTCACTTTGGAGTTCTTGCTTGCATATTTTTTAAAAACAATTCTAGGGTTATTGGTGATGTTTCAGAATGATTATTGGTGATCATTGGTGATAAATCACTAATGTGCTATTTTTGTGACTGAAGTAAATATTTGATATTTAGATTTCAAAACACATACGGTATACAGGTGAGTTAGTAAAATGTCAAAAGTAATAGTAATTAACATGTTACGATGAACCTATTTTTCAGGATGTTCAGAGGTTGCTTTCAGTAATTTTGTTTCGCATTAATAATTACCGCAGATGTCACAGACCAGAGAATTTCCTGAAGAATTCAAAACTGTGAAGTGTATGTGTGTGCATGATGTATTCTGTGTTCTAATCAACTTCAAAGTGAGGGTTGAAGAGGAGTGACATATCATGTCCCTGTGGCATCCAGGTTAAGGCACATTTTGGGCACCTAATACCTAATTGTGTAACATTGTTGCTTTGTGATGTGGTTCACTGGGTAAATGTTACTAAAAATTGTCCACAGAAACATTTAAGCTGATATCTATAGAAAGTTAGTGCCATGATGAAACAAACAGTTTGTTTACATAGTAAAGCAGTGATCTGTTATTGCTGACCTCAAAATATGTTGGACCTAACAAAACTTATTATGACGTTTTTTCACCATTGCTGACAAATCCTCATTTCAATCCCATGAAATTTGTGTACGCTACTGGCTTATCAAATGTGACATCATGGTCAGCATGGTCAGTTGTCAATATTATGTGTCAATATCAACTGAGTTGCACATGAAAAACACATAGGCTATATACATGATATATGCGACTCCATATCTCAATAACCATTATATAGGCCCCATTATATTACATTCGATGGACTAAATACACATAGAACTTTTTTATAACATCATGAATATGACCCTTTCTGAATGATGACTGGAGATTCCTAAACTTTAAACGACAGGCATCTGTCTTCACACAGTCCAGGATCGTATTCTTCATAATAATGAGACGTGTTTCATCATTTCCTATTTCCTACAACTGTATTTCTGTTCATGCATACCTGCAAATTTGATCTTGAAAATGATTTACAAAAATATGATTTCGAGGTGACGTAAATGTTGTGTTTTTAGTCTAAATTCTACTGTCAATACACAAACAGAATTGTTAGTAACGTCACTCACAATAAACACTTTAACGTCCCGAACGCGTATAACAACAACTGAATGTGGTTAAACAGATTGCTTACCTATATTTTCACATCGAGATCTGATTCGTGTCGAAATCAAGACACATTCCAATCACAAATCAACTTTTCTTGACATATCCGCCATGACACTTTCATCAAGTACAGGGCTCCGCAGAAAACAACTTAGGAACACAAAACATTGTATACATACGACACAACTAACTGCAGTGTTGATGTTCTGTATATGTATGATCACTCTTCATGCTTGTATTAAATATTTATTTTTTGAATATCGTGTAAAAGTGGATAATATGTGCGGATCTATTTGGAATAGGATACTTGTACTACAACAAATAACAAATCTGTACAGGCGTGATGAATATCATTTGGTCTTCTTTCCATTTAAGAATGCAAGAGCCAGTTTAACAAATTAAAAAATAATTTTACTAATTTTGTGAATCAAGTCATCCTGTTTAAAGCCGGCAAAGCCACTAAATATCATTAAATACTGCTTGAACCGCCAATTCTGGAAGTAGTTTTAAGCCAATTATTCGCCTCTAGGCTCGTTGGTTTAGTGCGTGTGATCTGTGTGTAACACTTTTTTTCGAGAAAATGTCTGCTGTTTTGAGAGGAGTTATCAGCAAGGCTGTGCCGAATGTTAAGGCAAACGTAATGCAGAAAGCCACCGTCATATCTGGCCCACCCAAATTTAAAGTACCAATGGTCGTAAGTGTCTGTACCTGTGTGATAAACTTGTGATAATCTATGGACTGTGACCCTTTTGATATCTTTGAAGGACATCCGCTACAACCACGACAATAGCTTGTCGTGTTATTTATTGTACGAATAAATGTTGAACGTGCACATGTTCACGTAGAATTCCGTGTTGGCGCGTATTAACATTTGAACGCGGAAATTTTTTGTTGAAGTGTAAACAGTATTCAAAGCCTCAAGGTCAATGTATCGTTAAAAAATAACCCATACCCGTTCTTTTCATAGCCATGCCATGTGTAGAAGATCCAACGATGGTTATCCAATAAAGCATGTAAAAACACCCGGTCTAGGTCCCTGTTGGCTTTTGTTGGTCCCCTTTGGTATGAAATAGGTTTGTTATGGGGGAGATTTTGTTTGTTGACAGTTGTTAGCTCAGCATGCTCAGTAACTGCAGTGCCAATACACTATTCAGTACGCATTCAAATAAATTACATGATATGAATACCGATACATAACTTTATCGTGTCGCAAGACCACAACAAGTGTATTGAATGAGTATGAGTATCATAATATCATTATCCGTATGAGTATCATAATATCATTATCCGCTTAAGCATTATCAGTTGTACTTTGAATGTAGTAGCACTATGAGTAGGTTTCAATTGTTGTTTAACACTTCACTCTGCAGTATTCCAGCTAAACTATGGCGGTCAGTAAAGAATCAAGGCTGGACCAGATGATCAAATGATTGGTATTGTGATCAACATCCCATCTTCATGGGTCAAGGGAGTTCAGGATTTGCAAAGCATGAGCACCACCACCTCCACTTCAACAGATATTTTCCAAATCTTTTCACGTTTTTAATCAAAGTGCTCACTTGATTTGATACACTAATGACTTAATGAAGTAAGAACTGTTTTATAACAATATATATCTTGAGTATCGATCAGATCGTCTTGACTGGGTGCCGCTATTTTGTTTGAAGTTAATGCAAGTGATATCAGACGGGAAGTCTGATTGGTCAATAGGAGGGACATAGGAGGGACATAACTCATAATAGCCAAGATGGCACTATGATCGAGCCAAGAATTTCCAGCCTAGCTCGGCAAGGGTGCAAGCTGGACTTTTATAGTCAGTTAACTCCCTTGCCTCAGGAAGATGCAATGGTCCAGGCCGCTAGGGTTAATATGATACACTGTCACTGAGCCTAACCAGATTTTGAAGGATTTGACCAGCATAGATTGCTAATATTTGTCCCTGTTCCCATTTTCTGTGATACTGTTTTGTTATCTTAAACCACGCACAATTGTCAGAATAAAGAGGGGCGTTAAAGCGTTCGCTCGTCACGCCGAATGTGTGAAGCCCATTTCTGGTGTCCCCCGCCATGATATTGCTGGAATATTGGCGTAAAACCATACTCGCTCACTCAATCACTCACTCACTCACTCAGAATAAAGAGCTAAGGATTTCTCCTTGGGTTAACTTGGTTCAGATTTACGGCCTAATTTGTTTTTTTATGAGTGAACATTTTTTTAAGACAGTGTCGGAAGGCTGATAAGAGTGTGACTGATATTTGAGTACACTGATCAATACTGATTGTGAACTCTATCTGTTTACTGATAGTCCCTAAGAATGTTGTATGAAATCTATTAATAAACAAAGCATATCCAAATATGTCAAGGGTCTTAAGTTTATTATGTAACATGCAGTTTTATTGGTTCAATATGTGCCATCACTAGACATGCTAGAACTTAAGTCTTAAATTAGAATAACATGCTTAAGATGTTAGCAAAACTCCATAAACAAGGAAATGTAAAAACAACTCTCATCAAATACCATTCATAACATTACCCAATCAGTGCAAATTTGCAGTATCATGTACTTCCCTTCATTTAATATGCAGTAAATATTGACCAATCAGAACAGTTTTAACAAAGAAGCCTGCAACAAATGCCCTTTGGCTGGTTGTGTAAGCCTGTTGACAGCACGCTGGATAATCATGATGGGGGGGGGGGGAGGGGAACAGACCCCCTGAATATATTTTCTAATATCCCAAGTGTAAAGATATAGCATCCTGTAATCCATTGTTGAAGTAATAAGCTTTTAAGGTCTTCAAAATCACTTTTGGCTATACTGGTTGGATGGTACTGGTGTACAGCTGTCTAGTTCCTCAGATGCATATCTGAGGCATTTTATTTTACTGCTTCCTGCTTGTAATAAGAATACTGGGAGCAAATAAATTGTAGATGAGATGGTTGTACACAGTGAATGCATACTCACGGCAGTGTCTAATCAGAAAGGGGTACGGACAGGGAAGTCCAACTCTCTGTGACCTGGCTGTCCTGTTGATATGAATGAGGCTGTGTCCTGTGACATTGCTGGAACATTGCTTGACTGATATGGAAACCTATTCTCTCACTCCTTTTTACAGTCCGTGTCACACTGACAAAAATCTATCAGGGTCCAGTAGTACATGATTGCAGGTTAAAACCATTCTTTGGTTCATACAATTTTAACTTCTTATTTGATATTTCGGTGCTTGAACAATGTTCCATGTTACAGAAACAGTTTCCCTGTGTCCTACATGTCCTAGTTTGACCGAGTTGATTTTGAATGATCAAAAGCTGCTTCCTAGGCTGAACTACCTTAGTTGTCGCTACAAGGAAGTTCTAATCTATAAATAGCACGTCACATATCCCACTATCAAGAAACGCTGTACCCAAACTGATTCTGGCTTTCCATTAGAGATTCCTGAGACAGGATGGGGTCCAGTACCCAATGCTTGTTGTAAGCGGCAACTTATGAAGATCTGGTTATATTATGACCTGGTTGATAATCATGTGTCATTATGCCCTGATGGTTGTATTATGGTCTAAAATTTATTGTTTGTCAAATGCTCGTCTACATTTGATATTCTGAGTGTCCAGGTGAGGGATGAATCTGACAGGTTGTTAGGATATGTTGTTGTACAAATAGTATGTGATTTGGGTAGGACCTGAAACATGTTAATCTTCATTTCCTGATAAACAAGGCCACAGGGATTTTGCTGGAATGTGATCTACAGAGTATAACAACATTCACTCACTAAAGTTTTGTTTGCTAGAAAAAGAAATTGATCTGATTCGTAATTAAGCAACCATTCTTTTAATATTTTATTTTTTCACATTGGACTTCTTTAAGTGATATTTCAAGTAGGTATCTGTGCTGGTTGCATTCAAACTCCTGGAAGTCATGTATTTTCTAAATTGATACCCATGCAATCCATTATTATGAAAAAGCATGTGTGCTCTCACCCTGCTCTGTAGAACACTTGCACCATGGTCACGACCCGGGGTAGAATAGATCTTCAGCAACCCATGCTTGCTGTAAAAGGTGACTATGCTTGTCGTAAAAGGCGACTAACAGGATCGGGTGGTCAGGCTCGCTGACTTGGTTGATGCATGTCATCGATCCCAATTGCGTGGATCGATGCTCATGATATTAATCACTGGATTGTCTGGTTCAGACTCGATTATTTACAGACCGTTTTCATGTAGCTGGAATATTGCTGAGCGCGGCGTTAAACAACAAACCAACCATGGTCACCACCACAGTTAGCAATACTGTTATTTGTAGGTAAGTTTGAAGATGGTCAAATCCTGAATTATCTCAATTTGAACACAAAAGTCGAGGATACTGTCTGTAATTGTACTTGTGTTAGTTGACAATGTGCTTTTCCTAGCCGGGGAGAACTATCTTCAATGTAGAAAACTAGTGCAAGATGAACTGAATGCAAGCCTGAACAGGGTATTCTTCCGGTTTTCATAATGAAGTGAAAGTAAACCCACTGAAACTTTATAGTGTTTACCATTAGTTTGTCAGGTCAAGTCTTGAATACTTCTGGGCAGGAAAAGTTACCTGGAATATTGCTGACTACAGCTTAAACATTTTTCACTCATTGTTTGAAAGATTGAGTAGACGGCAGAAATTTTCCTGGAAAGTCTAGCATTTCAACCGGCATGGAAAAGTAATATTACAATCTATGCCTCTGTTCCCAAATACATGTGCATGATATAGGTACAACTTGTGAAGCAAGCCACTCCTCCACGTTTCCCACCATCATACTGGTGCAGTAGTTCCATATAAACAGAATGCAAAATCAGCCAGTAATCCAAAGTCTGTGTGTAGTAAATAGATTATTTGTCTAGTAAGCTTTGGTTGGTTGGTTTGTCGTTTTACGCCGCACTCATCAATATTCCAGCTATTTGACAGTGGTCTGTAAATAATTGAGTCTGGACCAGAAAATCCAGTGATTGACATCACAAGCATTGATCCAAACAATTGGGATATGATGACATGCATCAACCAAGTCAGCGAGCCTGACCACCTGATCCCATTAGTTACCTCTTACAACAAGCATAGTCGCCTTTTATGGCAAGCATGGGTTGCTGAAGACCAATTCTACCCCGGATCTTCACGGGTCAGTAAGTTTTGGTCCCTATGTTTACCTATGTCAACTGAATGACTGCAAGACAAATCCAGTCAAGTGGCAGTAGACTGGGCACTGAACAGGTGACGTAAAACCCTATTTGCTCACAGCTTATTTAGAGCGTAATACATGCCCTTGTTTGTTTGATTTCAGGAGAAAGTTGGCCTGGGTGGTGTGATGATATTGTGCGTAATTTCGCCAGCAGCCTGGATCCTGATGAACCTTCAAGAGTACAAGAAGAGACCGGGGGATGAATAATGTCACCATCATCTAGGACATTGTGTGTTTGTGTGTTATGCAAGGAGAATACCTCAGAAAGTATCTTGACAGTCTCCAGCCATCAGGCACACAATGGAACTCTTGACAAAGTACTGAAAATGGTAGACACCATATGTGAAATATGGACCGATATAATTGGCATTGTTTGAAATGAGAATGATGGATAATCAAGTTTGAGACCAGATGTTGTATTCTCCTGTGTTTAGATATGTATGTCATGGTTATTTAAAATATCCTCACTGACATATGCTTTTGTTGTTTGTTGCTGTAGAGACGACTAGAGATCACTAGAAAAACCTGATGGGACATATTACTCAGTGGCAGATAGTGATTTGTACAGGAATATATAACTGTCATTAGGGTTTTGATTGTACCAGTTGTGTTGCTGTTTGAATTCACTTAAGGAAATTGACAGGGAGGGGAAATGTACATCTGGTAAAATGACACCATATCCGGTTTTGGTGGTACAAGTTTAGTACAATGCCTCTGTCTAGCTTAAAAGGAAGTTGTATGCACTTCTAATGTGATGTCACTTCCTGCTGGGAGAAATGGATGGTGAATGCAGGACTTAGAATGAGATAGTTCCATGCATTAAATCTATTTAAAGAAGTTATAGGCACTTCTGGTTTGATGGTCACTTCCTGTTTCAAAACAACATGAACAATTGCATGTGTGACACATTACATAATCATATGCTGGGATAATAAGTTGGTCTTCTGATGTTGGCAAGAAAACATATCACTACATGCAAAACAAAGTATGAATATTTTTATGACTGTTGTAATCATGGCAGGTGACCATGACTTTAATGCATATGATTCATAAAGCTTCAACTTGGGATTGTATAAATGACTTTCCAAAATGACCTTAACCAGCTCTTAATATCATCTGCCTTTGACATAACACTGACATTTCATACAGGGTTAGTTATACATGTAAAAATCAAACTTTGCATGTGAAGATCCAGGGTAGAAAAGGTCTTCAGCAACCAATGCTTGCCCTAGAAGGTGACTTTGCTTGTAAGAGGCTACTAATGGGATCGGGTGGTCAGGCTCGCTGACTTGGTTGATGCATGTCATCAATCCCAATTGTGTGGATCGATGCTCATGATACCAATGACTGGATTGTCTGGTCCAGACTTGATTATTTACAAACCGCCGTTATATAGCTATAATATTGCTGAGTGCGGCGTTAAACAACAAACAAACAAACAAATTATGCAGGGATGGTCTGGTAGCCTAGTGGTTGAAGTGTTCGCTCGTCACGCCAAAGACCTGGGTTCGATTCCTGACATGGGTACAATGTGTGAAACCCATTTCTGGTGTCCCCCAGCCATGATATTGCTGGAATATTGCTAAAAGCGGCATAAAATCGAACTCACTCAAACTTCATGCCTGTAGTGTTAACAGTGCCTTACAGGCTGACAAGGATCTTAGAATGATATTGACCAAAACTATTTCAAAGCATGTCCCAAGACTAGTGATTATTTACGCATGTTGTGATAAAATGCCAGTCATAAGGGCAACTTCATATACTACTCAAAAGAAGTTACAGAACACTGATTCTTTGGTTACTTTTTTTTAATCTGTCATGCCATTAACTATAGTAATATGAAGGACTCGGTTCTTCTTTAACTTCTTTTGAGTAGTATATATTTGGTGGTCAGACTCGGTGACTTGGTGGACATTACCTGGCTGTGTGTCACTACCCTAATGCTGAGTGTCCTAATGGGGATATACTGTAGTGTAAAACAGCTTAAAAAAATGTTTAAAAAAGGTAAATCAGTACATTGTATCTGCTTAGTGTAAATTAAAACTTTACTGTTTATCGTAATCGAGCTAAGATCTCGTAAAAGCAACATATAACCAGATCTATTGAAACAACAAAACCAATCGATCAGTGTTTGCAGCATTTGCAAAACACAGGTTGCAGTAATGAAACGTTGGCATGGAGATGATTTTGCATTTTAGGTTTGTGGCAATTGTATTGACAAAATATGATGCGGAAAGCCGGTTCCCAACATGTACAGACTACTGTCTGTACTGATGTGTGACACCCTCATCAGGCCCCTCATTGTGTGGGAAGCTGCTCACGATATCGGTCACTGGTTTGTCCTGGTCAGACTAGCTTATTTACAGACCAGTGTCATATTGCAGGAATATTGCCAAGTTTGGCGTGAAGCAATGAAACAGTCAGGTGATCAAAGCATAAATATATTTTTAGAAATCACAAACACTATCATCTTGGTGAGTATTGTTCATCTTGTAACCATTTCACCTGGGATCTCGGTGAGACCAGTGAATGAATGGTAAACCCCTTTCAAGTCTCACCTGTGACCTTGACACAAACTTTGAAGCAGGGTCACATCCCTGAGAATGTAATTACAGTATTCGACGTAATTCGTGGTTTATGCTGACAGCCTGAAATGATACAAAAGAAAAGTCTTTGCACATTATACATGACATATATTTTCAAGAATTTAATTGCCCATAATAAAGGGTGCATAGAACACACGAGTGTGTATTATACACAATTAAATAAGTGAATATTGATCAATCGGAAGGGGTGCTTATTGGGATCGTTCACTAGCCTATATGTTAGCAAATATCGCAGTGGGCGCTTATAAGAGCAGGGCGCATATTACGTCGAATACGGCACTACTTTGATGATAAAGAGCAGAACACTTTTAAGAAAGTGTAGATAAACATAGTTTTCTTTAACTTGGGCCTCATGACCTGTACCTAAAGAACCCTCAATGGCTATGTGTAACAAATCCCAAGTAAGTCTCCGAGTGGGAGTGAGTTGGGTAAATTGCCACTTTCAAATGTTCAAATAATTTTTAGTGTGATGGTCTATGTGCTTTACAAAAGTGACAAAAAGTAATTGACAAAATGTGTTTTGTTCCATATGGCCTCTGAAAATAAGGTCTAAGTCAGCCATTACCCACCGCTTCGTACTTCAACAAATGGTTGTTGAGATATCAGTAAATTAGTTTTGTCAATATACTCTTCAAAAAAAGAAACACAAAGCCAGATAGATCTGTGTGAGGTAGGAAAATAAATTTTTATAAGAGGAACCAGACAAGGTATTGAGCCAAAATGCTGTGGAGAGAACACTTGGTGATTGTAGTCATCTCAGTCATCGTTACATAGGAAAGGTCCAAGGTGAAGGTCAGCTACCATCAATAACGCATATGTCGCTCGTTGGAATCATAAGCGACCTAAAATCTGCCCATGGAAGTGGGGGAAAAAATTGATGCTCATGATATTAATCATTGGATTGTCTGGTCCAGAATCGATTATTTTCAGACCGCTGTCATATAGCTGTAATATTGCTGAGTGCGGCGTTAAACAACAAACCAGCCAACCAACCATGGAAGAGACGAATATGCGAATCACATCCTCAGGAATGGTAGCCCACTTGGCCTACAACGCAAAAGCCAACTGCTGCAGCAATTTGGGTTGTAGTTGACGTTGATGTGGCCATCTATCCAATTCATCCCACAGGTGCTCTATCAGGTTCAAATATGGGGATCTGGAGGGCCAGAGGAGAACATCAATGTTGTTGTGTAGACAGGCTCTTGTGATCCATGTTGTATGTGGTCGAGCTTTGTCCTGCTGGAAGACACTGTTGCCGTTGGCTGCAATTGGTAGGAGAATTTCGTTGATGTATCGTAAGATTGTAGTCAGTAAGAGCAGTAAGATTGCCCTGGATATGGACCAAACCTGTCCTGCCATGATGAGAGATATCCGCCCACATCATAACGCTACCCCCACCAATCTTGACTCATCAACGAACCAGACATCTCTCCATCGCAGTTGAGGCCGCACCCTGTGTTGACGACACCAATGCAGTCGTTGTTGACGATGTTGTCGACTCAATATAATGTGATGAACAGGACGTCTTGCTCATAGACCTGCTGCTCTTAAATTGTATCGTAATGGAGATTCTGCACAGTCCGGGTATTTGGGATGCGGTTGAGGTGACTGGTGGTTCTTACACGTAGGTGGCGCAGTCAGATGTAGCAATCGTGGGCGGGGGTGGTTATTCTTGGTCGTCCCAAACCTTGGCTGATCACGTGTTGACCCATGCTAATGAAACCAATCCCATAACTTTGTGATGGTGCTGGCCGCTACATTGGAAACCCTGGCTACAGCTTATTGGGATTCCCCTGCCTGCAAGCGGCCTATGAAGTTTCTTTGCACATCTGTTAATCTTGGCATGCTGTTGAACTGTCACTGTTTGATTGATGCAGATGCCAGGCAATAAAATATCCTGCACTTTCATAATATCATTCATGCACGTGCAGTACTTGCAGCTCCATGGCCCTTTTGTTAATGGACTGGGTGCGTTATCCTGAATCGTATGTTTCCCCAACTAATGGTTTGCATGCCCTGGTTGTGATCATTTTGTTCCGGGAAATTTGTCACTGACACTTTAACACATTAAACCTCTTCATTTTGCTCCTCTTGGTCCGCTAATTTTGCTTTTATGGCCAAAAATATCCGTATTGTGTTTCTTTTTGTAAAGAGTATGCTTTATATAATATGATGTGTGTGTGTGTGTGTGAGAAGGTGTGAGTATTACAATGTAAATAGGTATAAGCATCAGTGACTGTGTCACTTTCCAGAAACTTCTCAAGGCCATCTTCATCTACTACACTCATAGCAGGGGTGAGAGCAGAAGGTCCAGGATTCGATAGCTGGCCGCCTCATACCAAAAGACGTTAAAAAAGATACTTGTTGGTACCTTATCTGGCGCTCGTCATCAAGGGGCTTAAACAAGGACTGGTCCGCTTGGAGTCAGCTTACTGTGTCTGAGTGGGGCATTCATGTTAAACTGTGGCATGGTATCTCAGTGGGCTAGCACTATAAATCAGCATTAGTCCGGACTAGTACACGCAGCCACACACGCACACATACATGCATGTTGCTTTATAAGTGCAATAATCTTGGTCGCGACGTTAAACCCCATTTCACCTCACCTCAGCTTGTGGTTGAAGCATTTCCCCATGCAGAAGAACCAGGTTTGAATCCCACAAAAGTACAATGTGTGATGCCAACTGATAGATGTCACATTGCTGAGAAACTGGTGAAACAGCATAAAATCAAACTCACTCATGATCACAGTGATGAATTTAAAAAATTCTTCAAAACAAACAACAAATAGATAAAAGTTTATTTAGAATATCTATTGATCATACACTGCCATGTCATGGGTACAGCAAATATTCCATAAACGAAGTGGTTTCCTTCATGGTGTGTAATATTTGGTAACAAATATAGATAACAGTTTATGTATATATGTCTGCCATAGAACAGGAATTTCAACATTGTTAACACTGTCACATGATTTGTGAAATGATCTCGGTAAAACTAAGACAAGCAATCTATTTAGCTAGAATATAGTGTCTAAAGCCAAACAATCGCAATGTAGAAACTTGAAACATTAATGATGCCATTTTATATGACAGCTGAACTAGTTGCAAGATGGAAAATGAACATTAAGACATGGGACACTATTGGAGTAAGAGCGTTACATTCCAAGCTGCAACCACTCCTCACCTACCCAGTATACACACTTGATCATCACACATGCTGGTCAAATTAGGTCCCAATCAACTAAATATTATTAGGTCTGTTTTTCTGTATTATTTGGTTGGCAGATTTATTTTTCAAGAACATTGGCTTCATTGGTTGACATAAAAATAAACAAGTGATAGAAACCAATTCTTGTTTTTTTTCTTTGGATGAAAATTAACTCGAACAGTTGCCTCCCTTCCCCTATTCATTTCTTTACAGCTGTTTTTATTTTCTTTGTCATACTTATCAACATTTGTGGTGGGAAGGACATTTTGTATGTACCATATTGCTGAGGTCTGGGTAGGTTGCTCCATTAACCAAGGAATGAAAAGATAATGCCTTAGTCATCACAGAAGAATGTGTCAACTGAATTCTGCAGATCTTAAAGCAACCAGGTGTTTGTATGGAAGTTGACTGCACATACCTTGCATCAAAGTTGAAAGATATTATCAACCTTAATTTCCTGTGATACAAGACTAGTTGTTTGGCTATGTTATTGAGATGAAGATGCTCCGAGAAGTATGGATGAAATGTCTTATCATAGTTGTGAGAAATTATATGCTGTGGTCCCTTCAGATCATAGGAGTACCCTTGGAGTTGGTCAGTTGACAGTTGGACAGTTTAACATGATAAATGTTCTGCCAAGTTTCCTGAATGTATAGCAACTGATGATATGAAAACTGGTTCAAATTGGTGATGCAGGTGCTTTGATAACACTGAACTTATGTACCATTTCATTCAGGACAACAGTCATGGCATCCTCAGTTATCCAGAGTATTATATGTCCATTCTATTGGGATAAGTCCCCTGAACCCATCTGACAATATACCTGGTGACTAACTTCAAAAGAATTTCCTGGCTCATTGACTTGAGCGAGTGGGTAAGTATTTACGCCACTTTTAGCAAGATTCGAGTAATATCACCAGATATAGGCTTTACACATTGTTCCCATGTGGAGAATCGAACTCGGGTTTTCGGCGTGTCAAGCCAACGCTTTAGCCACCAGGCTATCCCCTTTGCCCCGTCACTGGCTTGAAATCAACAACCATTATAATGACTCTTTGAAACCCGAGTTCAGTATAGATCTACAATTAGAATTGCATTTTACTACAAGCGAGCCCTTTATATATTAGGGAATCAGAAGTGTAACGATTTGTAGCTGGAAAAGATGGGTGTCCTTATATGACCAGATGTTCCCCTGAATTTTAGATGGTACATATCAAGGCAAGGCAAGTACTGGTCCTCTCACCACTTGTTTCAATCAAAGAACAGTATAATTTGAATTGCACTTTTAGCATCATGTCATTCGAACTGCCTCAAAACGAAGTTATTGTGACATACGAGTCTAAGATACTTATAATAGATTGGAGAAATATCACACTGGATAAAAGATGATGCAATTGTGGAAATATGCACATACTTATATTTCTTATTAAGTTAATATGAAGTCGACCATGTGCATTCTTCCAAGGCGGTATCCAATACTATTTGCATGACAACATCTCCAAGCATTCTGTGACATTCTGTCCCCACATGAACACTCACAATATCCCAATCAATAGAGGAGTGTTATATTTACCAAGAGTTTATTGATATTCTGCATTATGATAACAAAATTATATAGAATTACTGGAAAGAAAAAATAATTAGTATTTAACCTGATCAAATTTAAGAAGGTACTAAATGATGAGCTTACTGAAATAAGGACAATGCACTTGTCAGAACAAGGAACACTGCACAATGATTTAAGTATTGTTCATATACTGGTAGTCAAACCCACACCTGAAGCACCTTTTGTTTAACAGACAAAATATAACAAAACAAACATAGTCAAAATTAAAACACAGCCAGTTAAAGTATTTCATGACATCCTTATTCACAAAGTAACCGAAAATAATCGTATAGATAATAAATATAGTCAAGATTAAGTAACAGCATGTTATTATACAGAAAAAAACATTCATGTCGCGCTACATTACAGGGAGCCAACATCAAGCATACATTCCTGAGAAATTTGCATAGATACAGACAAGAAACAAAGCCCAAGGATAGTAGATACAATTTCAGATTGACGTCACAACCTTATGAATGTGAAAATATGATATTGTCCTAACTACAGATTCACAATTGTTTCAATTTTGAAATAGATGAAATTATTTTCAGTTCAGCTTGAATTAATTGAACTTACAAATATGAATACAAAACATCTGAGGACACCTTTAACCGATTTCAACATCTACTGGTGTTCAAGTTGTAGTTACATCCAACCCGTCTGGGGACACCTGGTATCTGTCTTCTGGTATCCACTCTAGCAGAGGAGGATTATTATGAATGGCAAGATGAAAGGATCCATAGCAAATCACAGAATTAAAAAACAACAATGTAAACTGAAATTGAAACTTGCATTATAATACAGGCATATATTACAAAGTCATGTAATGGACCCCAAACCACTGTTGATCTTTCCTGTGTTAAAAATACTTCAGGAAATCACAGAAGGTATCTTTTGTGTACCCTGACATCTGTAAATAGTGATGACAGCAGCCACTTTTTAGTTGTCACAGTGAGTGAGTGAGCGAGTGAGATGGGTTTAACACCGCTTTTAACAGTATTCCAGTCATATCGCGGTGTGTCAGCTTAATGTGGGAGGAAAGCCCGAGGTGTTGCAGGTCTCAGACGTTTACCACTTCGGTGAAACCCACAAGCACGGGTATAGTGCTGACAAACCTGGAAACAAAATCTAGGCAAACCAGGATTCGAACCCACAATCATAGGTTTCTGGCGTGCCCAAGGGATGCAACTCTGCACAGCAAATCACGGCGCCTTCGACAACTGGGCCACCCGTGCTCCCTTATAGTCGTAACAAATGAACAAGGAATGATATGTTTGGTCTCTGCATTGCTTTACAACTACAGTGACTACAATCGTAACTACTACAACCACAGTGGTTGGTATCCAGTGTTAGAAGTGGGTTCTGCAGTCCTTTAGGTCTCTTCCTATAGTGACATGGGACCACCTTAAACTTTACCTCCTCCCAGTAGGGTATGATAAGGAGTAAGGACCCCTGCTGTCATGCTTAATTTTGGACACTGGGTATATGGGCCTACATAAACTGCATGAGGCCAATATTTTTTATAATTTGAAATATGTGCTTCCTAACTTTGACATTTTTTAACTTTTTTTCTATGACCTCTGCTGTCTGAGTAAACCAAGGTCGTAAGCCGGGTTTTTGCAACTCCTGCTTACAGTATTTGACTAAAAATTCTGATGGAATGTTATTTGTGTTTGTAGGGTCTTGTAAATAAATTGGTACCATTTTTATTAATATGCAGTATCCCGAATCCCAGTAAGACAAGAAGGAGGCTTAAAGCAATAAAGTTCAGCCATGAAAGACCTGCACTGGACCCCGTCCCAGGACTGTACCATGCAGACGGCCCCTGCTACATCGATCCAGGCAGGAATAATCTGACATATCTTCCAACTAAAATACACACAACACTAGAAGAGAGGTCAAGATTATTACACCTATACACATTACACACATCTGACTAAACCCTGTTGAGGAAAATCAAAACTTACAAACATGACACACAATATGAACTTCAACAATATATAGCATACATCCTGTAGAACTTTTATAACCACTTGAAACACCTCCACACCATTTACACAGCCTGTCACACAATACCTGGTGCACCACTGCATTGAAAGCAGCCTGACTGACTGCAGGTGGAAAACCCTCAACATATGCTGACTCATCAATATGTCTATCCAAGGATAATAATTCTTGCTATTCCTATTCCTCTATTACATCCTTTGCCATAAATCCTGTATTTTGGCTTCAGCCACACTAACTAAATTTTCAGATTTTCAACAGACGTCCTCTTCACTGTCAATTACACAATTAGTTGTTCCCAAAATAGCACTATAGCAATATAGCATTGAAAGGTATCCTTTTGGCAATTATATGAAGGATACCTTTCGATGCAGTGTAATTCTATTGCAAAAGTGCCTTATATTTTACTTGAATAATAACAAAAACAAGACTATCAAAGTAAGAAATATATATTTCTTATTTGTTTTGTAAATCTATCACATTCTGCAAGTTCTGTTTGGAATGGCATCAAATACAAAAAAAAAAAAAAAAATTAAGAATAGAATAAATGAACAAAAATTGGTCAATGATTTTGGGTATCCCTTTCAGATTATACATGTAGTAAGCATTACAAAGATGATATTTCTTGTGCTGTGAGTCCTGTAGTTGTAATGTGGGGTGTTGGGTTAACCTGATGATATGGCAACTCCCATGTACTGAAGGTCTGGGTGACTTGTGTACACTCATGAATTATTCAGTCTCTCTCATACTTGAATTTGTTGCAGACATGTAAACACTGAACTCATGCATTCCATCATACTACGTACAGTTATCACAAACACAACATAATATTCAGTTGATAAGTAATACATGCAGTCTACATGTACATTACAAAAAATGTTTTCTATAGCAATACTGACTTAGCTTAATACAGTTGCGCTAACAAAATTAATGCGAGATTCTACATGACTATTATTAGGCCAAATAAGAAACCCAATTGGGTCTAAGGCAACAGAATTTGAAAAAAATGGATAAACAATGCAAGAACCAAGAATATTTTCTATTAGCCTCAAGTTCACAACAACAACATTACATAAATCAGAAACACCTGACATTGGATGATGGTAAAATTTGTTATGACCTAGGATATTTACAATGAAACAAGAGCAGAAAGCCACTTTGACAAATATCAGGTCCAAAATATTAGGAATTATATTGACATGTACATTTTCCTCAATCATATCGAACAAGTCACTGAACAATTGTCAGCCAATTTGAAGAAATCCGCTTATTGGAAAGCCAGCTGGGTCATTGTGAATGTTTACCTCTGTGCTGGACTGGTGTGTAGCTAAAGCAGAAATCATACACCGATCGGAATATGGAGTCTGGCTAAAGTATTTGTTCGACATTATCTCCCCTGTTGTAACAGATGGTGAGTACAACAAATGCACTTTGAAATGTCTTGACAGTTTAAGATTAAAAATTAATACACGTTACATATTTCATAAGAAGATGGCTGAAAAAAACAAAAAAACACCCAATTCATCTTTGATCATTTTGTGCTTTGGTAACAATTTCATATTAAAAAAAATAAAAATATTTTTTTTACATTTTTAAGTAAGTGAGTTGAATAAAATAATTCTTTCTTGTCAACAAATTGCACAACAACAGCCAATGTACAAGTAACCTTTCAAAATCTTAATTTATGATTAACCATAATTACAAATGGCACTTCATATCAATCTTTTCTAAATAATTCATTTCACATTGAAACCAAGAACATCGTTGTTTGGTGCAACTGCCATACAATGTGAGCTTCACCCTTGAAGTGAGCACTTGTCGATGCTGCAGTTCTCTAGAGACAGTATTACGCAGGTTACTTGTCTCTTCTAAATGACAGTGATTTGAGGATTCGAGCTGACCTCCGCTGATGGGTTGGACTGGGTGCGCCTGACGACAGTGAAATCTCGACATCGATACCATTCTCCAACTTGAGCCATGTGACAACACCACTGGCATCACAGTCTACAACACAGAAGAAATAAGAGTCCAAACATGACAAAATATTATCCTCATACACTTAACGTAAGTATGCTACAGACAAATAATCAGGGAACTAATTTTATCCCAGTCAATATCCCAAGTTGCCAATCAATAAGAGTAATTTCACAACTATGGGACAAGTATCTCCAAACAGGTGGGGTTATAATGAGACCTGGGCGTGGCAGGCCTTAAACAAATAGACACCAAGACAAGATCATCTCATTACATTAATTGCACAATGCAAACAATTCAAATCTGCTCCTGTTATCAATAGAGAATTCCATACAATAACAGACATATTTCAACATCTACCATAAAAAAACGGCTATATGCAGTCCGCCAGAAAGCAAGGCGTACTGTGAAACAAATACTTCATCTGAAGGGGTACCTGCTTTCTGTGCTATTTTTAGCATTGTGTGTAGTTTATTCCTATTGCACCAAGCTAATAATCGCCTAAATACATTAAGTTTGACATAAGCCAAAAATGTGAAACCTATCTGTAAAAAAGGAAAAACACCATTTTATAGACTTGTTTAATACAGATGATATTGCATAGTTGGGGCTTTATGCAACAAAACTCTAAGTCAGCAGTAACAGCTTTTAGTCGTTATTACACAAAGGTGCCATATACAAATTTGTAACATTGTTATCTTCTATGTTACTCTGGAAGTTTTTAGTCAATGCTTGATGATGCCCTTTATTTGACTCAGATGTCTTACCTGCTAGGAGGTCCTTGAGAGGAAAACCTTTCGTTGCCAAATGATCTTTACTGGACTGCTTCACATCAAATATGAGGAGGTCCTCACTAGATACACCATGTCCTCGATCAACCTGCAGCATGTGGCAAAATGGGGTCAGGTGTATTTAAAGTTCGTAGATCAAACTATACTATATATGAAACTATACTTGTTTGTAAGAATGTGAGAACTGATTGTCTTATTACTTCTGGGACAGACCACTGCCAACATTTTGATAAATGAATCTAATATGCCCCATAAGTCAAGCCCAATCAAGTACATATATGTGTATGTGCATAAGGATTGGTAATGTTGCTTGCATGATTTTTTTAATACAAACATTCATGAATAAGTAAGTTAATTTAGTTTATTTCTTGACAAAAATGCATAAAAGAAGTTTCATACATAGTACCGTCGGATCATACGTTTTCGGACAACTTTGATTATCTCAATTACTCGCGCTGTAACATGGGGTGTGGTGTCACCCAGACATTGAAAATACTCGCATGATGACCTGTTTTTAAGATAAAGTCGTCTTTTGTAAATGAGTGAGATGTTTTACTGTTGTTCTTGTGATTAACAAGAAAATTAAAAATGTTTCTTAAGCGTCCGAAAACCCGTAACACAGGGATACAGCATGCTATATTGACAAAGGCAGTACGAGGTGTCCCTGCTGGTATAGGCGTGTTCCTTACCTCGAATGTCAGGTTGATGTCTGGGTGGGAGGACCTGATCATGGGGGACTTGGCGATCACGCGGGTGTTGGAGAACAGCTTGAGGCGACTACTGCGGCTTTGGCTACAACAGACCACTAGAACATCAGCACACAGTACTGGAGACATTAGTGTCACAATTAAATCTCACAAGAGGATTTGTTTCTTTGACTAATGTTTATTTTTCTAGTCTAATTTATTTATTAATTATAATAGCACAGAGATGTACACTAGATATAGAAGCGTTTTTACATCAACGTATATAATCAACTTTCTATATTTATACCTAAATGTCATCACTACTAAATTGACCACACTTTGTCTGCCTGTGCGTGTCACATGACAGTGCAGTACTGTGTGGCTTCTGTTGGGAATTTCCATACCATTTCTATCATAATATTAATAATTCAGGGTGTGAGGTATTATCGGTATATCAGTAAATTGAGGTTCATGCTTTCCACGAAATGATCTCAATATAATTTTATCATGCTCGATATATCGGGTGATTTCAAATAGCGATATTTATCATGTGTTTCAGGTTATTTTCTTGCCAAATGCCCTCGCTGCCCCACAGCATGCATCCTGGGGCCCCAAGATGGCAGCGTATTTATTGACAGAGTAAACATCATGTTGTACCTACATCTTGTTTTGTTCCATTTATGAACTTCAATTCATACACTGGTGTTTCAAATTGCTTCCGAATTAAAAAATTAGAATTATGCAATATATTGTGATATGTATCACAATACAGCCTTGTGCATCGCAATATATTGTGCTACACTTTAAACCTCCAATACCCATCCCTATTAAAAATAACATAGAAACTTTTATGCATTTTCCAGCACATCTGGCACAATAATAGTCATGAAAATTCACAATGCCACACTTTAAGTAGTGATGAAAATTAAGAATGAAAGTCAAATGGTCCTTGTCATGTCACAGACTCAAACACAGAAGTAAATATCATATTTTGGAACACTGCTGAGGTTTAGTAACATAGAAAGTAATAGGGTGTCATGGCTTGCTTTTTGAAGTGTAACTCTTGGTGTTGAACTTCCAGGGTTTCAGGGGACACAGGTGGCCCAGCTGTCTAACTAGCTGTGCAGAGTTGTGTCCCTTGGACATGCCAGAAACAGGCCAGCGGGTTTGACAAGGTGGTAAACGTCTGAGACCTGCATCACTTCAGGCTTTCCTCCAACATGAAGCTGACACAGTATGATATAACTGGAATACTATTCAAAACAGTGTTAAACCCAACTCTCCCACCCTCGTACTCCAGGTTTCAAGGTTAGTTTGTTTAGTGTTGAACTCACTGTTCCAGCCTGACTTTGCAGTAGAAGTCTCCGTCCACTCTGTCCAGTCCTCGAGCCTGCATCACCTTCCCCTTGACACTGTACAGCTTATCTCCACAAATAGAACTGTCTGGAAACAAGAAACACAACACAAATCTAACAACAGGAACCTGACACAAGCTGTAACAGGCAGCAGTCAAAGCCCAGCAAGAAGAAGCTAGTTTAGAAGTTCAGTGTATTAGTTCATATCTTTATAAAGAGAAATCATTACAAAGATGTTTTAACAGCTTTACTTTCTCTGAAGCAACAAAGCTTTGAGTTCTTGTTGCAACCCACCTAACAACAATCACTTGTCCCTTAAGTCTAAAAATATTGGGCAAATATATCATATTCATTATGATTATGTGAAAGTTTTACAAATATCCAGTTTGATTCTGTCTCTCGGTGTATCTTCTCTTGAGTTAGAACTGTAACTACTTCTAACTATGGCATGCTGGTTTAATGGATGCAATGTCAGTGTTTGTTTATTTAATACAGTGATGAAATTATTTATATACACAGGAGTGAATCATGCACATTTCTACACTAAGTATATACATGTACTATCGTTTGTACATATTGACAAAATAATGCCAAGAATATCAAACATTAATGTTTAAATAAATCAAAGTCCAAATATAACTAACTAAAAGCAAAGAGTACAAGGGATTCCTTAAATTCTAATGTATTAATTAATAAATTCAAAATTATGCTATTTTCCTACCGACTCTTTCAACTCATTCAAGAGAAGGTCCATACAGGCGCTACTGAGTTTGACTTGTTTTGTCAAACGTGTCTACAAACTGACTTTCACTGAATGGAATTGAAATTCATTTATGTGTGTCAAACACCTATTTATGTGACCTTTGACACATTTTATATTAACCAGTTTGGCAGGTTGTGTCATGTTGACATTGTGTGTCTGATCCCAATCCAGATTTGTTAATTATCCATCAAAACATGCTGGTAGTCATCATCAGAAACTATTAATTGAGGGATGGGATGCATATTGTATGCTGGGAAATTTTTATTGGTTTCAACCAGTTTGAGAAAATGTTGTGAAATTTGAGTAAACCTGAGCGAACCCAGCCCCATACAGGACTCCACCTCTGGGATCATAGTGAGTGAGTGAGTGAGTATGGTTTTACGCCTCTTTTAGCAATATTCCAGAAATATCACGGCGGGGTCACCAGAAATGGGCTTCACACATTGTACCCATGTCGGGATTCGAACCCGGGTCTTTGGCGTGACGAGCGAACGCTTTAACCACTAGGCTACCCGACCGCCCCTCTGGGATCATAGCACTCAGTGGTAGCGACAGCAAGGTAGAAGCTTCATGACAGACACACTAGCAACATGGCCTATGTGTTAACTGCAAATTTCACATATTGTAATCGGTGTTACTAAAATGCCTCCATTAACAACTGCCCCTGCTGACACAACACTACACGGCCCTTCTCATCTCTGTTCACATCCATCAGAAACTGACTACCTGTGAATCACCACTGACAATGTTTGCAGTATCTACTGTGTCATTGATTACTATGTCTGCAAAGCAATCAGTTCTTGAGTTACAAGATGTAAAGATGTGGAGAGGAGAAATAATTGTTTCCCATTCAGCCCCAAGTTTAGACTAGTCTGTATCCCAATTACTGTCCCCTCTAGCTTGATACTTGGCTGAAAGCTCAGGGCGCTAATAGTTGTGTGTCTACACTTAATGTGTATCTCGTTTTGAGATGCTTCCCATCATATTATGAAGTCTCGTGAGACTATGCTGAATGTCGCAAGACCTGTGCTCTGAATAAACCAGTTGTGAAGTGTTGTGTTGTGTCACGTCTTCAACACTTCAATGTTTAGACAATACCGTATTCGACGTAATAAGCGCCTCGCTCTAATAAGCGTCCACGGCGATATTTGCTGATATATTGGCTCCTGAACGATCCCAATTAGCACCCTTTCCGATTGATCAATGTACACAATACTTATTTATTCTCGTAAAATACGCACTTGTGTGTTATATACACCCTTAATTATGGGCAATTAAATTCTGGAAAAATATATCTCTCGTATATAAACATTTCAGGCTGTCAGCATAAACCACAAAATTTATCCTTCAACTCTGTTTTTTTTCGACAAAATAATATTCTAATAAGAGCCCCCTATTTCTAATTCTGAAAGCGCCCTGGGCGCTTGATACGTCGAATACGGTATATGCATTAGAGTTTACATGTATGAGTATGTAGAAAAGAAAAGTAGTCACAACAAATCTATCAATAGAAGGTTTCCTTTGTTTAAGTACATGCTTTCTCTGTTTAAAAATTATGAAAGAGTATCAGTTTGTAAACATTACATTGATAGCAAAGGGGAAACAAACATAAAACATATTGAAAATAATATTTGTTTGTTGTTTATCTCTGCACTCAGCAATATTCCAGATATGTGATTGTGGTCTGTAAATAATCAAGTCTGCGCCAGACAATCTAGTCATTGATATCACGAGCATTGGTCATTGCAATTGGGATACGATGACATGCATCAACCAAGTCAGCAATCTGACCGATCCCGCTGAATATAATAACCGTCTGTGTCTTGTTCTAACAGACAAGACGTACTAATTACCCATTAGAATTGATACATACAAGTAATTTCAAACTTAATCTGCATTCAAACAAATGGATTTCAAAACCAGACTATTGTCAACAAGGTTACATTTACAGCTGTAACACATGCCCTTACACCGGCTACAGATATACATGGTACGTGACAGGACAGAAAATGATGGAGAGAGAGAGGACAATATGTTTGACAGCAAGAGATGAGGTTCTGCAGCTCACCTGCCAATGAGGTTTACACACTGGCTACATTTCACAAGATATTTCCCCTCATCTTATTTCTCGGACCTCTCCTTACAGTGATAATGACTAGACATAAAAATATCTTAACCTTCTGTTTACATATTTTTGTTGAAATGCTAATCTTATATATGCATATAAAAAAAATATGAAAAATCTGTGATCTGCATTCAATGTGCATCCAAAACATCATCCTGTGATACTTGGTTTATTTTTTTGACAGAACAGACCAGGAATAACATGAAAAGTCAGATATTTTCACTGATGTATGCATCTTCATTGATTTTGACATATTTGATTCAGATACATGACAGAACAGACTCTAACACTCACAAATGTACGTGTCCTTACAAGGTATTTTAAGAAATGTTAAGGTCTTGTCAAGTCCTGACCTTCAAAATTAAGGTCTGTTCAAGCCTGTGTGACCTTGGGGTAATAGAACCCAGTACGTCAGCAGGACGAGGGGACACTTTAACCACCAGGCTAACCTATTGCCTGATAAGTTAGCAGAGGCCCATACAGTTTTTAGCCAATATCCTGTTGTGATCATGGGGACTGTATACCTAATCTTATATCAAGGAACACATCATAGATCCATGTCTGTTACAACAAGTCATGCTACAACAGAGGACAACATGCCTTGACAAAAGCTCACCAGGGCTCTTCCGCCCCAGTGAATTATTCAAAGGAAGTTGACAAAAGCTCAGAAAATGGAAGAATTCGTAATTGTGAATTTAGATATTACTGTATATGATATAGTTCAGGGATAGACCTTGCATATACTGTAGTTTGATTGCCATGCCACAACACTTCAAAGACTTCACACAAACACATAGCAAACACTAGTTAACTTTATCACACATTTGCCAGTCAAGGGTTGTTTGAAAAGGGGAGTTATTTCTCCAATTATCATATGAACAAATAAACAAAATATTAAGTTGATATTACACTATGTAAAACTATATTTGAAAAGATATAGGAGATCAGAAAAAAATATATCAGAGAACTAATTGGTCATCTATAGTAGCGTGCAAAGAGGATGATGTAAGAATACAAAAAATGAAACAAAAGCTATAATGTCAAATCAACAGCAAAATGAAATACATAAAGGTAGAACAATGTCTGAGAATGATAAGTATTGTGGTTAATATGTCTAAAATGTTTCCTAAGCCTATAACAAAATATATCAATTGTCAAAGGAGACAACCCTTGCTTGGCAATAAGAGTTTAGGTAATCTCATTAGAATCAGATCTTAGTGCTTGCTAACACTACATAAAGATCTGAGGACATCCCATTACAGGTCATGTCAGAACGACCTTTTGTGACTGACCAATGACAAGACTAACTACACCTCGACATTAGCCGAATCAGAAACCAGCTTTCTCAAACTTAATGGCATTAGTTTCAAACTAGTGACTTCCTTCCCAGACTACACTTTGAAAAATTTGACAAAGTTCGAAAAATGAACAAAAATACGTTTATACCATTGAAGCAAGAAAGAGACGATGATTTTGACGGAATCAGTCATACAGCCAGTAACTGTCATTCGAAATAACCCATGTTAAACCTTTCAAGGTCGCATAATCAGAAAACACATTCCGATTGTCACTTTCCCTATCTGGTAAGCATTGCTGTGATTGATAGGATGTAAGGTAGTTCTGACCTTACTTATAACAGGACATCCTAAGATTTTCGTTTAGCGGTAGCGAGCACTAAGATCAGATTTTACTGAGACTGAGGATTTAGCTAGAGGCAGAGGACAGTGGACAGTCCAAGACAGCTTACCAAGGGTGGTGTCATGAGCTGACGATGCTAAATAACGGAAAACACGCAAAATAATGAACTGTGATAGGATGAGATATGGCAGATAATTGTCATGGCCATCGGATAGGTGAAGAGGGAAATCAGAAAACTATGCACATCATAGAAAACACATATAGACTTGATGATAATCGTTTTCATGTTAACAGTTGTTAGGCTAATACTACCATGGGAAATTGTTTTGTGCAAAGAGAAAGAATTCTTTATTCCTAAAAGATGAAGATCTATGTTGGTGATATCAACTTATCCTGTGAAAGATGTGCATAGTGACCAAGCTGTGGCAGCCATATTGTAACATGATGCTGCCAAACTATATATCTGTACAAAGCAACATGTCATGATCTGCATTCAGCAGAGGCGATGCTGTCATTACTGACGATGTTACTTACTGAGGGACACATTATCTCCTGGTGACTTCGGTAGCACAGCTAGAGAGTTGATTCTGTTAAACATAAACATATACCGTATTCAATGTAATAAGCGCCCAAGGCACTCTCAAAATTAGAAATAGGGGGCGCTTATTAGAATATTACTTTGAGTTGAAAGATCGTAAATTTCGTGGTTTATGCTAACAGCCTGAAATGTTTACATACGACAGATATATTTTTCAAGAATTTAAGTGCCCATAATTAAAGGGTGATATAACACAGGAGTGCATTTTATACACGAATAAATAAGTCTTGTGTACATTGATCAATTGGAAGGGGTGCTGATTGGGATTGTTCACTAGCCAATATATTAGCATATATCGCCGTGGGCGCTTATTAGAGCGGGGCGCTTATTACGTCGAATACGGTAAGCACTTTACAAAAATTCAACACAGCATAGCACCAAGCTATATGTATTCATAGGTTCATAACAAATCAGATGACTAACATGTAAAATCATAGCAGGATGACACAAAAGCAAAATGACTGTCACAGAGATTTTGAAACTTGTCCTAACTATCTTACTGACATTGAACTCAATGTAGCTGGAAAGGTAAGCAGCAATGTAAACTGACATAATATTTCATTGTCTTCTTCATTATAAATAGAAGTAGATAGAAATACAGTAGGATACTATTTCCAGTACAACTGTTTATGGATAGTTGACTTCTGTTGAAAACCTGAAGCTTTCATAGTGTGATGACAGTCAAAATACAGGATTAATGGCAGTGATGTCATAGAGGTACAGGGTTAGAAATTGGCACTAGTCCTATAGTCCTTGCCAAACTGCCCAATAGTAAAGGTATCCTAAGGACTAGTAGAATTTTGACATTTTTAAAGGTTTTGCTATATGCTATCATTATAAGGACTAGTGGACTGAAACTGTTAGTTTCTACCGCTGGAGGTAGAATATTCGCAGGAATTATACATGATATAATATACTCTACCAAAAATTACTGAGAATATTCCTCAACACAATAAAGGAAATGATTTACAAATTCTAAATTTGACTCTTGTATCTCTACTGAATCTGAAATAATTGAAACAATGTGATAAAACTATTATTAAACTGAAGTAACATATGAAAGTTAAGAAAATTTGCAAACTGCCTCTTCACAATCACTATAGAAAAACATATCACACTGCTTGAATTTGAAAATGCACCTCGATATATACAAAATCAAACATCATCAAATCTCTGCTGTGCAAGTCATTTTATTAGTGAATGACCTTCAAAGTGACCTTGACATTTGACACAACCATGCTATATGACAGGTATTGAGTTAATCATTACAATTATTACAGCGGGCTGCTTAATTATAGCCTGTTTTCGCCACATCATACTAAATACCTGAAACCATATTCCAATTTAAGCAATCCCCTTCAACCATGAACACTCACGACTCAGACGGCCTCATTCCCGGAGGCTGTAATGTCAGACTGTCTTTGCGGTACATGTTGAAGCTCTGGGTCCCACGGCGCCCCTGCAGTCGGTTGCTGTTAGTGCTGTTGGTTAGGTCGGAGTTGGACCTCCGTATCTGTGCAGCTGGCATTGTGGTCGACAGTCGTTTGATGGGTCCCTGCTGTGGAGAGGAGGCCATCAGGGTGTTGGAGGGAAGGTGGACCGAGTTGAGGTATGTGTCGTCCACCACCATGTCTGGTAGCACTGGCTGTGGACACAGTAGTCAATATTAGGGACACAGTTCAAGGATTTATCTACACCTACTAAGATGCCGATATGCGGCCCCAAGTCTGAAGCAAATGTCAGTAAAAATTCCTAAATTGGAAAAAATATACTTCCCAATTCATGCTATTATAGTAATGTTTTTGTATATGACTTGTATTTCACTGACAACAGGATTTATTGTTAGTTTTACATCATTAAATTGAATGAAATGTTAAAATACAATGCCAAATTGCTTTGAACATAGAAAAATCAAACATATTATTTCAATGTGCCATTTTAATGAGACAGTGTAACATGAAATTGGTAACCCATATTGTGACTGGCAATACGTCTTCAATTAAGTCATACATTTCCCTCCCTTCTCCTTCCCCCCCCCCCCCCCCCTCACCCCCCCAAAAAAACACAACAACAACAAAAACCAAAAACAATAACAACAATTACTTCATAATCAGGCAGTAAGGGTAAAAAACATTTTCAAACAATGCTATATCATGATCATTCTCTTCAACATTTAATCTTTTTTTTCCCCGTAAAATAAGCAAAAGATATTTTGGGTTACATTATCCTAATTACCAATGTAACTGCAATTCATATAGAAGTTAAACACTCAATACATCTTATTAAGCCCAGGTTTGTTGGTTGTTTAACAATTGCATCAACAATATTCTACCCATATTCCATCAGTCTGAAAATAATCAAGTGTGGGCCAGACAAACCAGTGATTGATAATACTATGAGCAACATCCACACCATGGTATGATGACAGCAATCTATGTTACCAAGTCTCACTGACTGATCCATTTCATCACCTTATACAACCAGCATAGGTTGCTGGTGACCTATCCTAATCTGGAATGCCTATGGAGTTCAGGAAATATACCAACATAATATTGGTTACACAAGTATAGCATAAAACAATAAAGTTACAACACAAAGTCATCAATTCATAAACTAACAGTATCCAATGAAAAAGAAGCACACAAGGTAAATGTCCATACACCAATACTACACAAGAGTGTCCGAGTCAGCACCTTTACCTTGACAGGAGACTCGGGAGGAGAGTCAAACACATCATTCTTTAATGAGTCGGTTGCGTCTTTGTTCTTCTGTGCAGGGAAACAAGCAAGGCATCATGGGAAACAGCAACAAAAAACAACATGGCTGCCAAATCATCACACACACCTATACTACTGCCGTAACACCTCCCAATTACATCATCACTACCCTTTGGGGTAGACGTACAAAATACGACTGGGCCACAACAAACTAAAGCGTGATATTTTGCACGACAACTAGTACACTCAATTTTCTACTTGTCTCAAATTGGAAGTACACAGACACTAGTCCTCTAGAAATTACTCTGTGTTCTGTATGAGTTCAGAAAATGGGAGTGATGGGATGAAATGCTGGTAATGAAGTAGTTTAGAAGCCATGTTTGGAAGCAGCACAATAAAAACGTAAATAAAATACACGTATCTAGAACAAAACTACAAACTTAACATGCAGGCACATACCGAATTTGACATAATAAAAACTCAAATCACAAATCAAAACTACGCAAATGGAAATAGTTTTTCACGTTTTGAGATATTTTCTATTTCCAATGATAGATCATGACAGTCATATTTTATATATACGCCAGCCTGAAATGACAGTACAAGAAGTCTGTGCTTATTATACACGAGAGGTATCTTTTTCCAGGATATAATTGCCCATAATTAAGGGTGCGTGTAATACACAAGTGCGTACTAACGTACATTGATCAATCTGAAGGGGCACTTATTCGGATTGTTCTCTTGCCAAAAAATTAGCAAATATTTGCTGAAAGCGCCTATTAGAGGTGGGCATTTATTACGTCGAATACGGTGTATCAGAAGTCATAAACTGTAAACAAGATTGTGTAACATGATAAAAATATTCATTATCAAAAATCTACATTCAAGCAGCAAAAAAAGGGTTCAATTTAACGGCAATACATTATCTGAAATCTTTAATGGAAATGAACATATTTCCCGGAAAGGTGATCACTGATACTTTGTAAGAACTCATTCAAAGTACAGTGATTCTACATGAATCATCTAACTGATTAGGATAGTTCAGGAATCAGGATAGTGCAGGATAGTGCAGGATAGGTTCCACTCCTCAGAGAAATCTCAACTCTTGGGCTCCGTTCCACAAGGTGACTGCAGCACCATGACTGTCATAAGGCTATGTTAAAGTATGGGAGTTACGATCATCCTAGCGCTACATTCACGTTGAGGAACAGGGCCCAGACTACTACTTGTACACCATGTTCCTACTTGTTCCTCAGAAACTACCACCCTCCAGCACTACACTGTACAACATACATAGCATGCAGACAAACCAAACAACTAACAAATAGGTGTCTCCTTACAACATACCATATTATCTTTGCAGGTGACCTGACATTTCAGCTGCAGCTTCCCGCTCTTCGTCCTCTGTAGAGGGAACCAATCTGCAGTGCCCTGAGGTTGTCAGACAGAAAATAAGTTGTTGAGAACCCAACCCATGAGAATACTCACAAAGAAAGGAGTTGTCAGGAAGATACCATCATCTACAGTGGCATGTAAAGTACATGTAATCCAGGTGTGAATTAACAATTGTATTGCAGTTTTCGTACACATACAATAAGAGTGAGTGAGTGAGTATGGTTTTACGCCACTTTTAGCAATATTCCAGCAATATCACGGCGGGGGACACCACAAATGGGCTTCACACATTGTACCCATGTCGGGAATCGAACCCGCGCATTCGGCGTGACGAGCAAACGCTTTAACCACTAGGCTACCCGACCGCCCCAATACAATAAGAAATTGTGTGAACATTAAACTTGAACTTTATTGCTGCAATTACTACTTTGATTTGATATCCTTAAATCACTAGGTGCAATATCAGACATATACAGTAAACTATGGTTAATACAAACTCATAGGGACTCCAATTTTAGTTCGCTATAAGAATATATACAGCATATATACAGCAAATGGCCAGGACTAAAAAATAATTTTGTTATATCCGTCAGTTTGTTTTAAGCATGTTCGTTATAAACATAGTTTACTATATACCTTTCATCCATGCTGCAACTAACTGTGAAATTGCTGAGACCCTGTTTAGAAACTAGGGCTGGGACAGGTAACTCGGGTACTCGAGTCAGGTGGGTGCTGAGAAGGACCTGGGTACCCACACGACTACCTAGACCCGTGATTAGTCATGTGATATATTGTTCAATGACAAAAATAATCTAGAACTCCATGGTTCCACTACAAGTGACTAATGTTCACATTCTTCTCTGACTTTCATATGTTTGAATAAAGATAAAACCAGTCAACTTCAGTGTACGCATGACCCGATCATTTTATACATTGAAATACATTTTGTCCAGGGTTACGGTCAAACTACATGTATTCCCAATCAGACATTTTGTACCTATCTCTTGAGACCTATAGCGGGTACCTGGGTACCCGGGTAGTAAATTTGGCCTCGTCCCAGCCCTATTAGAAATATTCACTCACTTATGTAATTATTTGAAATATTTGTACTACTTCTTCAACATAAATTAGATATCCGTAGAACTGAAAAGTGTGATGAATGTAACACTCCACACACCAAACCTCATGCACTGCAACGTGTCACCAATCCTGACATTACATATTGTGTGTGTCGAGATTACCCCATGCACAGCGCAGCAATATCTATTCCCTACCAATTCCTTATGTGGTGAAGGCCTGCTCACATAGACTGGTTCCTGTTTCTGTACTCATCTTCTTGTGTGAAGGCAGATTGTCACTGTGATCTTTCCTGACAAATCTATTTTTAGGTGAAGACCATGTTGGGATGCCCCTTTCACTTAATGCTCAGCATCTTTGCTTAAGGTGGATAATAAATACTTTCTTTTGTAATTTCTTTTCTCATATCAGAACATAACAAATCTGACATTGCACGTTTAGCAGAAAAGATCTGACCTCAACAAGCCAGAAGCCACCAGATCTTACCTTGACAGACAGTTCCTTGAGTTTCTCTACAGTCAGCGGGATCTTGCCCATGAAGTCCTTTCCGATCATATCATTGTCATACATTTCCTGTAATGAAACAACATTTGCTTCGTAATATTTACACACCTTTCCTTCAAAACATACAGCAAATGTACTTAGTATTGGACAATAAGGCTGTAACAATATCATGCAAAATATTCTCAGGTTTATCATAGTTAATACTGACCAAAATAAACTGCTGCAAAACAATAGCACTAAACTCTACTTCCCTGTTTCTAAACTTACTAAACATTCTTGTCCCTGTTCCTAAAACACTAAACATTCTTGTCCCTGTACCTAAAACACTAAACATTCTTGTCCCTGTACCTAAAACACTAAACATTCTTGTCCCTGCTCCTAAAACATGAAACATTCTTGTCCCTGTTCCTAAAACATGAAACATTCTTGTCCCTAAAACACTATGATGAAGTTCATTTCGTAACTCAGGCCACACAGCCCTTAGTACAGTTGTAAGATAAATAATAGTTTAAGTCACATGTCCTAAAACGCTAAACATTCTTGTCCGTGTTCCGAAAACACTAAACATTCTTGTCCTGCTCCTAAAACATGAATATTTTTGTCCTCTTCCCCTGTTCCTAAAACACTAAACATTCTTGCCCTGTTCCAAAAGTATTTAATATCTCCAGCAGTAATCTCCCTGCTCTTGTTCCTGTTCAACTCACAATGGTAAGCATGGCATCATCTCCCTCGAGTTCCACTGTCACCGTCTCGTTCCACTTGGGGAACAATGTCTTCTTCTTCACACCTGTGGTGAACACTTTCTTCCCGTTCTTCAGAACAACACAGAATGGGTCACTGTAACCTACAACCGAAACACATAAATATCTCCTTACTCTAGTCAGTGAGTACTGAGCAAGTATGACGTGACCCGTAATGGGATATCCTCAGATCTTTGTTTAGCGGTAGCGAGAATTACGATCTGATTTTAATGAGATTGGGTCCCTGGCATGATGAGCGAATGCTTTAACCATTAGGCTACCCCACTGCGCCTTCCTTCCTCAAGCCATTACTGGGTCAATACACTGTTGATGTTCCAGACAGCCCATATATTAATCCTCTGTGCTCACTGATTAAGTCCAGATCTTGTAATTTCTTATGACTGAGTGATATTTTGGTACTTCAGGAAAACTGTTGTCATACCCTAGTTAATTGGGTTTAACATTGCTATGAACAACATTTTAGTTGTATCTAGGTGTGTCAGATTACCGTAGAGTCTGGAGTATAGGCCCATCTGCGAGCCCTAGCCCAACCCCTAAATTTGCATAAACAACTTCATGATCAGTAAGCTGTGTAGTGAAGTTGGTAATTCCGAAATCATACAGGCAGTAGGCGTTTATCACTTTGGGTTTTGATGAAGGCAAAAAGCATGGAAATAGAATGATAAAACTGGTTCTGGTAGGCCAAGGGGGAGTAACTCTGCCCAGTAAGCTGAAGAACCATGGCCACCTGGGCCTGAAATGCCATTTGTGGGATGCAGAGATAGGCACCACATGTCATACATTATTGTCAAAACCCTATGAGTCTACCAGACAGAATATGGCTCTTACCATCATTTTATATAGATTTTAGTGTTATATGAACTATAAATAGCTGAGTTTACTTGACCAAACAGAATTTTACCAGACTCAGCCTTTGGACTAGTGGCTAAAATCTCAAGCTGGTCATATCCACATGGGGATTTGCAAGCACAAGACTTTTGAGAGATGAGTTCACTCCTTAAATGCCATCCTCAGTAATTTAGAGTAATTTATATTCACTTTATTTCACCATATACCAAAGCCATTCCCTAGCCATTTGCCAAGGTAGAATGAACCGTGTCTTACACACTGTCATAGTTATAAGTCGTTGTCAACCGAGACATACCATTTCTGTCCATAGCAACCAGATCCTTGGCCTGTAGGAGCGTCAGCTCTACAATTGTCTTCCCTGAAACAAACACAAGGAGATCACACTGGAATCTTTATCAGGAACATACCTCTAACCACCACTATACCTGATCCAAACACAATGCTTCACTGAGTAAACCCTTCCAGAATGATGTCTAATACCGCTTTCAGCAATATTCCAGCCAATATTCCAGCAACCTGTTGACAACCGAGTCTGGGCTAAAACAACCAGTGGTTGATAGAATGAGCATCATCACACGTCCCTCGGGGTACATTCTCCCACAATCAACCAAGTCGCCGACCCTGACCACCTCACCAACCTGGTCGTCTCTTATGACAAGCATATGTTACCAGGTACCTATTCTAACTCGGAAGACACATGAGGACTTAAAAGATTGAAAGGGGATTTATTGCAATGTCAAATAAAATTACTGTTCCCTTTCACTAGCAGCAAATACACTATAAGCCAATCAAAAAACCTGCTCTCAGACAATTACTGTTCAAAACATCTACATACATACAAAGGAAATAACATTCCTTCTTTTCTTAATGAAGAGATTTGATAATCCGGACATTGCTCTGTAAATGATACTGTCCAGATCAAAAGGGTACTTCATGTTTTCAAAACAAAAAATATTTTAAATAAATAATATCTTGAAAAAAATGGGTTTTTTAGTGTATCCATGACAACATACCTTCCAGGTATTCCTCAATGTAAGCCGATGCACTTGTTGAAGCTCTGGCAGCCTATCACAAAACAACATCATTGATCACAATTATTACAGAACATCTTCAGGTGTCTTGATTTCTAATGCAACTGCAACACTTTTCTTTTCATTAAAGCAGTATGATCTGTACCTACTAAAGCCTAAAAATTATCTGAAAATGCATCACAGAAATCTAAAAATACCTGAAACCAAAATATGAATGAGAACATTTCTAGTCGATCTGAATAAACATGCATGTACATAAAACCAAGTTAACTGTCACTGAACTGCCTTAATCAATGAAAACAACATCACTTTACGCTATTCACATTTTTTCCTGTTGGGATTAAAATAACATCAGGCAACATCTGTATGATAAACTAAATACAAATCATGCAACAATACATACGCTAAACAGCTACAAAATAAAATCACATGTACATTAAATACCCATGCAACATCAGTGAAGTATAGGTGACAGACTTTATGAATACGAATTATTAATGCCAGGATGAAAATGGCATTTTGTGAATGAAAGATGTGAATGCACGAATGGGAGTATGAAATGAATATGTGAGAGTGACTTGTGACTCAAAAAAGCTTGAGGCTATTACTCCGCTCTGATTTCACAGAGTTGCTTTTTTTCACACAGCACTCAGGTTAACAACATTGATCCAAGGAAGGATTTTTTTTATGTCAAGTTCGAAATATTACAGCAATATATGGGGGACATCAGGAATAGGCTTCACATATATTTTTTTTTATTTTCTTCTGATGAGACAGGAGCAGACGGCACAAACACAAAGGGACATAACTCTTGAGTATTACTGCATTTGGCATTAGCCACAAGCAGGCCTTAGGTAGGCTTTAGTCACCCCTGACATCTGAGGTTGGAGGGGATCAGAGTTGGTGTGAGCAAAAATATTGTTTGAAACTACAGTGAGCAATATTACAGCTTATCACAGTAACATGTAAGTAGCTGAGTAATCTATCCTGCCCTGGAAACCCCATAGGCAACTGAGTTGGGGTCATTATTTGGAATTCTAAAATATCATCTTTCCAACTTCAGTTTTGATTTAAAAAAACAAAAGGTAATAGATATTTATTTATCGTACACAATATCCAGAATTCTCTCATATTTCCCCTCTTCAAATGTTGGGTCACACAGGGCATGAACAAATATCAACATGCTTTCCATGACTGTAGAGAGAATTATTTTGTTTATCATTATGTCAAAAACAGGAAATAGAATTCTTAACTTTTCCCCACAAGATTTAAAAAAAAATACAATGTAAATGAATTGAATATTTTCTGTGTGATGTCCCTGACACCTCAAGTAGTACATTAGTCAAGGCTATGATGACCCAAGCAAAAACCATACCCTGACAATTAATAATACACAAATTCTGATTTTTAGGGTCGGCACTCATGGAAACCATTTCAATTGGAACTGAATGTTTCTTTGTGAGTATTTCAATCATAGCTCAGCATGTCAGATTAACAAGAGAGGACAGCCTAACAATGTAGGTCAACCAAGAATGTTGAAATGTTGAAATGGTGAAACCAACTTGGGTGGGTTTGGCACTGACAAGGCAAGGAGGAGATCACAAGCGGGGAGAATTTGGGATTCAAACACCCAAACCAGTGGTTCCGGCATAGGGAAACTCAGCACCTTAGACCACTGGTGTCTTTTTAATGAAAGGAATACATGGTAGCTCGAGGGTGACAGTGTGGAGTACAGAATATATGGAGGAGCATGGTCTACATGGTGTACTGCACTATTCTGGGACATTGTTAATTGGGAAGTTCTATACACAGTGTCATGTCAAATAAAGGAAAGCAAGAACCTCTTCTCTAGACACGGACAAACACTCTGAAAGGAAGTGAGATAGTGATAGATGGAAACAGAGATCTATTTCCTCAGAAAGATGTCAGATAGAGATCCTATACTCTTACAAAAGAGAAAGTCTTGGCACAAACTATACACCTGGTCCCAGAAACAAAACCACCTCACTCAGCATGAAGTCTCTCAGACATGAGGACTCAGAGAGAAAGAAATTCATTCAGTTTACATGGAGAAAGGAGAGCCAATAAAAGGTGACTTGGGAACCATAAAGAATGATATAATTTACTTCCATCTAAGATATACAGATACATGGGACTACTGGGTCAGTCAGCACTAGCACCAATGATTACAGTTACCCTGACTGGATTATCTGTCTGTATCTCACCCCAACTGGTGGTATAACATACTGAACTCATAATAGGTAATACAGATACCCAGGACTACTGGGAACAGCATCAACACCAACGATGATACCAGAATTTTAATGTGGGCAATCTGATTTAATTATGTTTTCAAAGTATATACCATTTTTTATGAACATTGATGAATGAACTCTTTTCATTTCACATAGATGTTATTCGGTCCTTTCATCAATAATATTGATCTAAGCAGAAAGTAGGGATCTTCTTGGCGTCGGTAATGTAAGTTCATGTTAGATTCTTCTACAGCTACATGTAATGGGTCTTGTCAAAAGAATGATGAAGCTAAAATGCAAAATGGAAAGTTAATTTGTCTGATTGTAGCTGTGGTGTAAGACAATTAAGTTTTATCATTTACATTGAATTCAAGTCACAGAAATGTGCTGTGTACGACAATTTAAACCTTGTAATTATGTTTGCTTGATTTTTTAAAAACAAATGAATATTGTGTAGTCCTGCTATGGATGCTATGTCAACCACATCCTTGAGTTAGCACGTAGTCGGTGCTTTCCAATGTGTCTGAAACTTCATCTTAAGTGGTGGCACAACAGAAATTAAATCAAATTACTTATTTTTGCTTCATTTCAATTTGAACAAGACCCCCAAGTAAAACTATATCTATAACAAGGCCCAATCCCATAGACATATGTTATGTGTTAGCCATACATGTCATTAAGATTAGTTGTTACAGTTGTCCAAAGGGTCAAAGTGAGCTCATGTATCAAGTAGCATTAAAAGCAGATTGAAAAAAACAAACATATATGCCATGTTGTGTGAAAATTTTAACTTCAGTGTTGATATTTAGATTTTTGAAATTAGAATTCCAGGAAGTTTGCATACCGTTAGTACCATTAATCCTCAAAAAGAGACTAAGTATCAATTGGAGATAGGACAATTCAGAGGCCAGGCCCCACAATGCCAATGATAAGGTCACAAAAATGAATTGTAAGATTTTCATATCATAGCTTTTTTAAGTATTCTTAATTGTAAATGTTCTTTGAATCAAGTAAGGTAAAGGAATTTTACATTAGGTTGCCCAGGGCCAAAATTCCATAATTAGTTTTTTGTCCTGAAAATATATTGAAATTTTATAATGCAGGCTCCTTCTTCATCCCAAAACTTGAAAGGTAATATATTGGCTCTTGATCGAGGACTAATGGTAAATATTTAATTGACTGTTTGGGGAAATCTATCGATTCAGTATATAATTGGTTGTGTCTAGGTGCATGTACAGTGTTAGTTGTATGCTTGACCCTTGAGCCGCCACTACCTAACGAAGGCAGTACAATCATGCAAGTGACTAGAAGCCAGAGACTAGCAGACGACAACAAAATGGCGGATATTGTACCTGGTCATCTTCTCGTTTAGGTAGGCGGAGATATGCCATGTTCTGGGATAAAGAATTCAGTAAAACAGAAAGATCAACAACTACTTATTAAGAAATCATAGGGCACGTTAATTCTTCTAATCTGGAAGAGAACATGTATTAGTTAAGAGAAATATGGAGAAAACACACTGGGGTCGATCTAAAACTGAAGTCTAGTTCATAACACTAAACACAACAGTCTTTGATCAGACGATGACCATCTTGACAAAAATAATATGATTACAACTTCAAAACAAATTTCTTATATTTTATGAATTTGTACACTGCTGATCCAAGACTTTGTTTTCAATGTATATGTATATTTATTCATGATACCATATCCATAGAGTAAAATATATTCTTACAGTTTCAAGATCTACAAAAGAAACAAAAAACACAAGGAAATGGTATCATATAAGACCAAACACTGTTACTTATATAGTATATGATATGAAAAATGGTTGATTAAGGACATGGGTGGATGTGGGTGATTACAGTTGTGAATGTGAGGAACAGATGAAGCATGTGACTACGCTCACAGTCAGAGCGGGCGAGAGGGAGTAGAGTCGGGAGCAGTTAGACTACATCTGACAGTCGGTGATTCATTGGAGTGTGAACAGACACTGATACAGCCAGGGCCACTAAGGGTAACCTAAGTGGCTGGCCATGAACAAAGTAAGTGGAGCTCAGATGGATGGATGGATGGATGGATGGATGGATGGATGGATAGATAGATAGAGAGAGAGAGAGAGAGATAGATAGATAGATAGATAGATAGATAGATAGATAGATAGATAGATAGATAGATAGATAGATTTGTGACCTGCAATGTTTGGAGGTATATATGAAAAATGTTCCTTATGTTCAAAGACAAATATGATAAAACATTCTTACAGGAAACAGAAAGTACACATAACAAACCAAATTACTCTATATCTACCATAACTGAGAGTTTCTTTGCCGTGCAACACATGAAGTGACAGAGACTGATGCACAGACATGTTCATGCTTGAGGGACCTCACAAAAAGTCCTGTTGATTCATAGATGACACATGATCTTTGTATCATTTGATAAAATTTGTTTGTTTAACGCTGTACTCAGCAATATTCCAGCTATACGACAGCAGTCTCTAAATAATCTAGTCTGGACCGGACAATCCAGTGATTGAAATTGTAAGCATCAATCCATATTGTCAGGGTAGGGTGACATGCTATCAAGCAAGTCTGGACCAGAAGATCCAGTGATAGACATCATGAGCATCAATCTACACAACTGGGACATGATGACATGCAATCAACCAAGTCAGGGAGCTAAACTACCCGATCCTTTTACGACAAGTATAGACTGCTGAAGGACCAATATTAACCTGGATCTTCATGGGGTATAAACAGTGATAGCAACAAATATAGACAGGCAAATTAGGCTATTGTTATATGATTCATCATTTGCTCACATATTCTCATGCAGAAGAGGGATGGTATTACAGTGAGTGAGTATGGTTATACGCCGCTTTTAGCAATATTCCAGCAATATCACGGCGGGGGACACCAGAAATGGGCTTCACACATTGTACCCAGGATGGTATTACAACATTACCACATTCAACATTTTAAGCAACCTGCTCCAAATCATGGAATACTGTACTTTTAAAATATGCTAGTACTAGCTGACTAACATTGGTGAGGTGAGGTGAAATTGGGTTTAACGTCGCGTCCAAGATTATTGCGCTTATATAGCGACGTGCAAGCACCTGTGTGTGGCTGCTTGTACTAGTCCGGACAGATGCCGATTTATAGTGCTAGCACACTGAGATATCATGGATATAGTTTAACATGGATACCCCACTCAGACACAGTATACTGACTCCGAGCCGACCAGTCCTTGTTTTAGCCCTTTAATGCCGAGCGCCAGACTGGGTAACAACAAGTACCATCTTTTAACGTCTTTTGGTTCGACGCGGCCGGGAATCCAACCCCGGACCTTCCGCTCTCCGGGCGGACGCTCTACAACTTTACCACGGAGGCGGTGCTGACTAACATTCTGTTGTATGGATAGAATATAGTTGGACAAATAGCTTGTTCTTATCAATAACAGTGAATTGTGCTATACACTGCATTCAGCAACATTACAGCTGCATGACAGCCTGTAAATAGTTCAATCTGGACCAGACAAACCAGTGGTAGATAGCAGGAGCAATGATGCAGTGTTGGTGTATGATGACACACCATCACCTCATAAAAAAAACCAATTGTAATTATTATACACTTATTTTCCATTTAACAGGGTAGCGTGAACCTTCATATTATTTTCCAAATTTTAGGGTTTCCGGATCTGTAAACCAAGAAATAGTGAGGCCCAAACAGATTACTGTAGAACAGCTCTTAACACATAATGCAGCATTAGTAGGTCTGATGAGTGAGTGAGTGAATTTGGTTTAAAGCGGCTTTGAACACTGTTTTAGTTATGTCACAGTATGTCAGTGAGAAGCGATGGTCTTAGATGCTTATTACCCCACTAAATACCATAAATAACAGTATGAGAGTATGAGGCTTACAACTTGAAAAACATTATCAGTTTCATTCTGTGATTAAAATCCATGATCATAGGTTCCTGGCATGCCTAAGGGATGCAACTCCCCACAGGAGACGACTGGACCACCTGTGTCCCCAGTAGGTCTTATGAACACATACTCTACACATATCAGGAGTGGCCACTTGGCAAACAAGGGCAATAAATATTCTTACACCAAAATATATAGCTTTATGTCATCAGGATGGTTTTTATTTCCTAAGCTTGTTTTAATTTCAGACAAAAATCAAGAAATATAGTTCATTCAGGCGTTGTGTGAATACTTTTATTTCTGAAAGCAAATACAATGTATCAGTTATCTAGAGAAACATTGTATTAAACATCTACTGAACTATGTTAGTACCGGTATATATATAAAGAAATCTTTCTTATGTTCAATTCAAGTTAAAGTTCAGAGTATAAATATTGGATAACATATATACATGCCGGTATCAGTATTAGTGCATGCTGAGTTAGACCGGAGCAATAGGAGAGTTTCTTTCATAAAAACAGAGTGACTTGTTTATTACACAAGTGAAACTTTTAAAACGTACAAAGAAATCAAATAATTTTGCAAGAATATGAAATATATTACCAACTGAAACATACTAAAAAGAAAGGAATAACAAGAAATAACTTTTGTGGTTATTAGGCATACAATTAACTAAAGTTAATTTTGTATGTTTGTGTAAAGCAGACTTTGAGTGAATAATTCATTCATTTAAAAAAACATACCAAAAGTCTTTAATTATTTAAAAGAAACTCATTGTAACACATTATCAGACATTTCCTTGTAACATTTCAAGGCCATTGAACTCAAAACTACTTAGTATATTATACAATAACCGATATGTCAAATATAACCTTGTAATAAGTAATTTAATAAAGCAGTGAATATTGCAATAAGTTTCAAAACATAAAGACAGTCAAAATATTTCATAAAGAAGTCTTTACATTTTTTAACTCCTTCTATGATACACCTACAGCTAGGGGAGATTCTACATCTAGAAGCACAATAGACATACAAGACTATGAATGGCTGCAAGATAGTGATGAAGATGATACTTAGCTGGGAATGACAGTGATACTATCATCTTACCTGTAGCTAAAACAAAGCATACAAACATCAATAACATGGGCCCTTTACTAGAAAAGCTGGAACAACATTATTGTTTCCATTTCTGTTAAGAGCACAAATTATCTTTTATCCAAACATCTAAGAACACTTATATATCTCTTTATTTATTAGGCACAAAAACATGTACGAAAACAAAAAAAATACATCCTTCTGACCTAGAGCATCTATGGTATAATGTTTGTCAAGTGATTCAAATCCGTACTCAATAAATGTGACCAAGGTTTCAATTGCATAAATAATTATATTAGGCCATTGACTAATGTTTTTAAAAACAAAGAGAAATGACAAAGACAGTTGTTCCTTATAGAAGTCCTATGTCCTAAGGTGTCCAATGGCAATTGCTTCCATAATTCATTAGTGCCAGGAGCTATAAAGGTTTATACAAGAGACAAATATTCATCATTGGCAATGATAAAGGTGAACATGATGAATTAACTTAACAAAATCTAACATGTAATGAAAAAATTAAAATAAATGAACTTTTAAGAAGCTTGAAAGTATGCATCATGTGAAGGCAGGGGGGATAACTCTAAATATGGTGGCGAACTGAAACAGACATTCTGGCTTGTCTACACATATTAAAGAGTGTAAGATACAGCAGATTTGATATGATGTCTAGCAGCAAAGACAGATATACGACTGTGGATCTAGCTTCATGTCTACTCACCACAGATGCAGGGGACACCATGTCTTCATTGTACAGGAAGTCTGTATTGTTGATGCTCTCAGTCAGCTGCCGAAACTTCTCTGAAATATCCATCGGTTTCATTCAACTTCCTGAACAGCTATTGAAACTGTAACTGGACACTCAGCAAATACAAAATGTTAAATGGATAAGACAGGAAATGTTCTGGAAATGTTAATGCTTACAGAAAAACAACTTATAATACACATGCTAATGGAAAATGTTTGAAATCCAAACAGGTTATCTCATTAAGTTGTGTTCAATGCTGCTTTGAAAAGAATTTCAGTAATATCACGGTGTATCAGTTTAATATAGATGAAAATCCCAAAGTGATGTAGATCTTCGACATTGACCACTATGATGAAACCCACAAAGATGAGTATGGTGCTGACAAACCTACAATCTTAATCAGGGTGTATCTGGGATTCAAACTAAGATCACAGGATTCTGGCATTCACAAGGGATCCCACTCTGCACAGCTAACTGCTGTGCCCTAGATGAATGGTATTTTGTTTGGGAAAAGAGTTCCTTACCTTTACTAAACTAAAACAGCACATACTATTGAAGGAACAAGCACAACAGAATTTCTAAACAGCACATATTATTGAAGGAACAAGCACAACAGCATTTCATCACCTTCTTTTCAATAAACTTTTGACATGGTATGGATGTGAAATGTGACTACCTACCTGACTTTGCCACTGATGAGACAGGTCGGAAGACCACTGAGACAGTGATCATTCCACAGGACTTGTCAACAACATATCCCTCGGACGGTTTGTTGTAACCCAGTGTCAGAGTCTTCTTCACAATACATGTTTCCTCCTGTGTGGAGGAAGACAGTCAGAAGGAGTGAGTGAACTAGACTTAATAAAGCAACTGACTTCTAGCTTTATCAAACTTTCCGTAATCATTAAATCATGAGAATCTGTTGTTTCCAGAAGTAGATTCTACTTCTATCAGTTTTACTTGCATAAAATGCACATCCAAAATGGCCAGAGAAGTCCTGGCTCAGAATCAACTGCCACAACAATAGCGGGACATCATCATAATTGTTTAAACAGGACAACCAGCTGATCACAGCAGAATGATGGTCCTCGAAAGAGCTTCAGGTCCAGAGCATTTTGGCAAAGTCACACTTGTCAGATGAAGCCCTTATGCCGAAGTAACTTGATCCGTGAATATCTGTAATTTTCTGATTGAACGGATCGCGTCGTCAATTTCGTATTCAAATATTGTTACTGTTACATTAACCGAAACTGATGTTCTGCTACTATTCTGCTGTAAAAATATGCAACACCATACACTTTGACCACAAATGCATTGAATGTGTCACTTGTATACATGACCATGTGCTTTGCTATTTATAGCGCAACCGTAAATAAGCTCCGCCCACTGTGATTGATGCAGACGCCAAACACGATCGTTTTAATTTTTTATGATAAAACTACAGAAAATTTATTGACTTATATCTTGATATGGATCCATTTGTTGTATCCATGGTTTGTCATTCAAGTTGATACGAAGTTTGACGGTCAATGGTGATCTGGTTACCGTATGGTTTTCAAAAAACTTCTCCCAACACTCGGTTGTGTTTACATTGTCAGCCATTGTTCGAAACTGAAACACCGCCACCTTGCGGGCTATTTATAGTCAGGGTGGGGCTTTAATCATTCACTGCTAAATGAGAAACATCAACCAATGGAATTGACATAAATATAATTGCAGATATAAAATAATGTTTTCCTTTTTCACATTACCGTGGAAAGCTGCAGATGAGTTGAACCCAGGAAATCATCATCAATGACGTTTGTTCCGTCCCAGTCAAACACAAAAAATGACAAAGAACTCTGAAAAAAAAGGAGCATAATTTCTATGACACCATTAACTATTAACATGATAGGGGCGGTCGGGTAGCCTAGTGGTTAAAGCGTTCGCTCGTCACGCCGAAGACCCGGGTTCGATTCCCGACATGGGTACAATGTGTGAAGCCCATTTCTGGTGTCCCCTGCCGTGATATTGCTGGAATATTGCTAAAAGCGGCGTAAAACCATATTCACTCACTCACTCACTATTAACATGATAAAAACATACAAAAGTTTGCACGTCAGTTTTCCTATTCATACCTCAGTGAACACAAATAATACACAGTCAATCCTTACAATTAAATTTCACGACAAAAGGACATGTTCTCAAAAATAGTTTAACAACAAACAATCATATAAATCAAAACAAGTACACATGATGCTATAGATAAACATTCCTGGCGTAGGATTACAGTTTTTGGTGTAACATGAATCAGGTGACTGCTTAATTCACTGACATAAACGGGCATGCCACCAAAGTCATTTGCCAATTAAACACACAAAGCCTGTCAGTCAAGTCATATACCAAGGGAAAGAACTCCCTTCTACAGTATGGACTAAGATTAGCCGCCCCTGCGTTATGAGGAAGGTCATAAACACTGCAGACAATAGCTTTATCCTTCCCACATTTCATATAAAAGGCATGTTGTCAGTCATGTGGATCACTATCACAATTAACAATATTTCAGATCTGAAATCTATGATGCTTTGTTCATTTATTGTTTAGAATCGCAAAGTTTAACAAAATGAATGACGTATTTGAAGGTAAAGCAGATTATTTACTTCAAACAGACCCTCTCTTGTCAAGTAAGTTAAGGCACAAAATGATTTTAGATACTAAGGTTCGTCCAGACCAGTTGTACATTTTGGCCCAGGAAGAAGGAGGCAGGGGAATCCCTGAACTTGCATTGGGATTCCCCAATATTACATTACGATAAATTCAGTCCATCTCTATGGCGCAACTCATTTGTTTACATTCATTTGGAAATTAAATTACAGGAATAGACCCATTCTGCCTCAGCTTCCTAGAATTACAATGAACATATACAAAATTAAATTATATTTTAATATATAAGTGGTGACATTATACAAACCTTGGTGTAGTCCGACACAAAAAACTCCACCGAAGATTCCCAGCGTGGGTTCCGAGTGTGTGGTATGTAGGGTGTGGTCAGCACCTGAACAAACACAGGATGTGTCATCAAAGTATCATTGGTAACATCTTTAAAGGCAACGTAAAGACTTCACATCAACAGCACATGTTCAATGTTGAGATAAACACTTCAAAATGTGACTCAATAACACTGTGTTGTTTTAGTGTCACACACAGGAGCATAGGAATAGGAGAACTGCACAGTCAGCAGAAAGGAGAGGAACGTGTAAGAAATATTTGCTAGAACAGGCTTATAAATGTGCTAGAACAGGCTTACTGACATGTGTCATTAAAACAGTTTGTTACACCTCTATTAGCCTAAAATGACTAAAAGGTCTTGGTTCTCAGGCACTGCCCACATCATCATGAAGTTCACTGCACATTTCGTTTTTGTTTCCGTTTTAATTTTTTTTTCATTGTTTTTAAGTATTTGGATTAGGATTTTTATATTGTTTTGAAAATGGAAATAAAAACAAAATCTGCAACAGACTTTATGATGATGTGGGTGGTGCCTGAGTACCAAGACAATTTTTTTTAGCTTTTAGAATCTTGCAATTCCATTGGCTAATCCATACCACGTGATGAAACAATACATTTCAATGTAGACCCCAACATCACGTGACAGACACTGACTTTGACTATTGACTCGTCACATGATCTGTATTTACCTTGGGTGAGTTGTACAAAGCTATCGTAGGTGATCGTAACTCCTATACCTTAACACAGACTTATGACAGTCTTAGCACTTAAGTTGTTTTGTACAACGGTACCATGTTACGTGATGAATATTGACTTGTCTGCTAGAAAACAAGATGGCGTCTGGTGCTAACATTTTACGGTTCACAGTTAGGTAACTGTCATGAAACAGAGGATGGTTTAAAGGCTACATAAACTTTATAGTGAATTTCGGTACAATGAAACAAACTGTTACTTTTGAAGAGGTCAATATGCAACCTCGGTCGGGTCAGACCACCTCAGGAGTCGGTTCTTCAGGTCCTTATTTTTGCACACTGACCTCATCAAGAGTAAATATTTGTATAATATAATGGTGTAATATGTTCAATCCATCTCTCAATAATGGCCTTACCCTGCGCCTGTCACAGAAGAGGACACAGTATGGATCTGATGCTCCATTCTTGTCTGCCACCAACACATTCACAGCACCATGGATACAGATGTACATCACCCCAGCAGCTGCAAGGTCAAGGTCAAGGTCAGGGAACTTTAGTATGAATAACAGATATATGCTAACATTAAGCAAAGGTTGTACAATAAACTTCTAAGTGATAATCTCTGATGGCCAAGTGATTTCAGATGACCAACATCTTGATAACTTTTGTTCTGTTAATTGATAGATATAGGTTTCAGTATGTAGAATCTGGTGTCCTTAGAACTAAAGGGGCATGGAATAATCATTCATATTTTCACTATCAAGCTGCAGTGGTTAAGTGGCAGATCTAAGTAACAAATATAACCACTGAGATGTCAGCAATTTCTTCAAAATTTATTGCTCTACCATTTTGAGTTCTGTTTGGGACTATAGGACCAGTTTCTGGCAACACTTCCTGTACAGATATTGATTATGGTCTCACTTTCTGTGACTTTGTCTCTCTTTGATTCCAGGAGAGTCTCCAGGTTGAGGGCAGGTAGGGCGGTGTACTGCATCTTCATGGACAGCAGGGACCCGTCCTTGTTCTTGATCTCCTTGTCCGCACTGGAAACAGGGAAAGTGTGTTAATCCAGCAACATTCAAAGCAAAATCATCTGGACAGGCACATTTTTAAATGAGTGAGCATAGTTTTACACCACAAATTCAAGCAATATCACACAAAAAATGGGCTTCAGACATTGTAACCATGTGGGGAATTAAACCTGCACTTTGGTGTGACGAGCCAATGTTTAAGCACTTTGCTACCCCATTGTTCCCTATTTTCACAGGACAGACTAGAGTGAGTGAGTGAGTATGGTTTTACGCATCTTTGAGCACTATTCCAGCAATTTCAAGGCAGGGTACACCAGAAATCGGCTTCACACATTGTACCCATGTGGGGAATAGAACCCAGGTCTTTGGCATGACGAGCAAACGCTTTTAACCACTGGGCTCCCCCACTGCCCCCGACACCCTAGAGGAAAGTCCCTTAGAGTATAGATACTTGTAATAGGGTAAAGTATGTTCTACCACTATATGTGTCATTTCAGAATGCTTTTCACCAACATGACTCAAGCACCAGTACCTAGCTTACAAAGGATGAATCATATTTCTTTGACAAAAAAACAAAAACATAACAAGAATAGGGCCTAAATTGGATGTATCTCATGAAATAACTATCTACAAGACTTACAATTCTCGCACTTTGAAGGGGAATGAAGACAGGTAGCATTCATGTTTCTCCAGAACCGTGGAAGTCAGCAGACGCTTACACTTGTTCTTGATCTGGAGCTGCAATCAAGGTCAAGGTCATGAAGCAAACATTACATATGTAATATTACAGGGTACATATTAAATACTTCACTCTTCAATATACAATTACATCCACCAAACCAAACACAGAAAATCCATATTAAAACATCACAGATGCACAGCGCTTTCATAAATCTCTGAAAAGATCATTAATGCTACACCCTGGCATTGTATTTGTTCTGTGTCATAGTGAGCAAGGGTTTGAGCAGCTTTGAACAGTATTTGAATTTAAGTCTGAGAATAGAACAATGTGAAACAGGTCATTGATGTGTCGTTGGTCAAAATTCACACCCGGGAGCAGGTCTTTAGCTATTAAGTGCACTTGTACTGATAGGCAGAATCTCATATATTTTTGTAATTTGGATATGTCCATGTACTTCTCACTCAAGCAGTTGCTAGGCAACACAATATTATCCTAGCCTTAGATGTCACTGACTACAGACTAAAGTACATATATAACAGATGTGTTTGCCGTCTGCTGCAGTAGACAATACCTTCTCATTGGAAAGGCTGTATATGAAGAAAGAGCAGACGTCCTCCCACTCCTCTGATGCTGGAACCTCCAATGTCTCACGTTTGTTTTCACCTACACGAAGTACGCTGTATCGGATCTCATCGGATGCTGGAATACACAAACATGGGAATGCGTGACAGAGCAAGTTTTTCCATGTTTTAGCAAGATTACAGCACTTATCATCACATCATTACTTCAAAAAGAGTTTCACAAATAGTTCCTCACATCAGCAGCCGGACCTGACACGTAAACCACAAATAGCCTATGGAAACATCACACGATGATTGGGAAATAAAGAGTAATCATCAGCTTACAACATGTTTCAAGCATTCAAGAGAACATTGTTGCACTGTGCCATCTGGTGAGTGAAGTTGATCTTGACAGTGACATCATACAATTAATCGTTACACCCAAGCACCTCTGTCTGCAAAGTGAGTCTACCTATACATACCAGCACCCTTGACAGGCACCCCCTTCAACTGTATTGTAAGTACACCCTCTGCTGCGTTCTTCTTGGGCTTGCCACGGTTGATCTGGATTGGTCCGATCTTGGCAAAGTGGATATCCACTGACGCAGGGTCCACCAGAGCTGGAACACAAACACAAGCGTCACCACACAGGCTCAGATACAAACCACTAATGCTCATCCCATCATATTTGTTGTTTAATGCTGCACTCAGCAATATTCCAGCTATATGATGGCGATCTGTAAATAATCAAATCTGGACCAGACAATCCAGTGATTGACATCATGAGCATCGATCCACGCAATTGGGATACGATGACATGCATCAAACAAGTCAGCGAGTCTGACCACTTGATCCCGTTAGTCGCCTCTTACGACCAGTAAAGTCGCCTTTTACGGCAAGCATGGTTTGCTGAAGACCTATTCTACCCCGGATCTTCATGGGTGTCATCCCATCAAGGTACCAGCCTTTCTGCAGATCGTCAGTAAGAACATACCTGCCTGCCCCTCTCAACCCAACCCACCAGGGCCTCCCACCTCCCTGCACACTAAGGTACCTTTGGTCAAGCTCTCCATGACGTTGGTGTGTATCCAGCTCTTCAGTAACGGCACCTCCATCATCTGTATTGCCCGCAGCAGGCTGATGTTGAAGGTCACATCAGGTCTACAATATGGAGGATAGAAATGACACTCATGCTGTGGATACAATAGATTCATCTGAAGGGACTAAGATCAGAGCCCACTTGCACAAAGCGGTCTTAACGCTAAGACTATCGTCAGCCTATGTAACAGTATGGGAGTTACGATCATCTTGACGCTAAGATTGCTTTGTGCAAGTAGGCCCAGGCCATTTGGCAGCTCTAACAAATTTGGTTTAAATACCCTTAAACACTTTTGCAGTTAATTGTAGCAATGTTGTATTTTAGGCTATAAATAAGCATGAAAGGTCAGCACGATGTATGAGACAAAGGTACATCTTCTATCTACTATGGTGAGCTAGGGTGTCACAAATGCAACCTTTATCATCTATCATTCTATCAGCATGATAACGACAAAATTAATAATTCACTTCATAATTCTTGAATACATTTGCATAAATGAAACTCTTACCACATATAAGGTCTGCAAATAAAGCAAGATTCAATGGGCAGTTATTTAACAGTCCCTTTCTTTGCTAAAATAAAACATAGTTCCTTACTTTTCTGTGAAGCAGACGGTTGCCTTGGCGATGTGAGGGAAGGGGACGTCCATAGAGAACTGGATGATGGCCTGCACCGTGCCAGACAGAACCAGTTCCTGTATGACCATGTCAAAGCCAACATTCACCCTGCCATGGAGAAAAACACTGTATACAGTCCTGGAGCTAAGTATTAGTGTTTTCACCCTGTCATGGAGGGATATTCCTGCCACAGTCCTGGAGCTAAGTATTTGTGTTTTCACCCTGTCATGGAGGGATATTCCTGCCACAGTCCTGGAGCTAAGTATTTGTGTTTTCACCCTGTCATGGAGGGATATTCCTGCCATATGAGCTCATGTTCACAGCAGTGCAAATTTACCTAAATCATTTACTAGCCCGAATAGTGATAACATATATCAGGATACCCCTTGAGTTAGCAAGTGAGTAGAATTTACCATCACTTTGAACAGTACTTTAGTAATATCACAGCAAGTCAGTTTAAGGTTTGAGGAAAGCCTGAAATGATACAGGTCTTAGACATTTACTACTTTGGTAAAACCCAACAACAATGGTATGGTGCTGACAAACCAAAAATCATAATCAGGGCAAATCTGGGATTTAAACCCACAATCATATGGGCCAAGGGGCACAACTCTTCACAGTAAATTGCATCGCCTTTGATAAAAAGGCTTTCCATGAAAACAAATATTGGTGATTGGATGGCCTAAACATAATTTTGCTTCTTTTTTTAATGCAGCCCTCCAAATTTAGACTAGATGCATGTTCAAGCTAACAATTTCACACCAGGGTTTCTATTATGCATGAGTATCACTTTCAACACAATCTGACTCAGTATGGACATGGGGCGGTCGGGTAGCCTAGTGGTTAAAGCGTTCACTCGTCATGCCAAAGACCTGAGTTCGATTCCCGACATGGGTACAATGCGTGAAGCCCATTTCTGGTGTCACCCGCCGTGATATTGCTGGAATATTGCTAAATTCAGGGTAAAACCATACTCACTCACACACTCAGTATTGACATATTCAACTGACCATGCTAAACATATTTACTGCTTCCTCTTTATCTTTATCAGCTAAGTACTTATTCAGCTGACTATACTGAATGTTTTGTCCCTACTGCGCAGGCTTCCTCCCAGGTGTATTGCACAGATGTGGATGGTAAATAAGCTATAGCATCCCTGTATGTAATTCAGTCAATGCAGCGATGTGGAACATCCTGTGTTATATCCCAGAGAATCAGTATGCATCAGCAGTTGCCAGGGACAACAATCAATATCTGTAACAGGTCACGATGTGACCATTTATCACATGAGCAGGATGTACAGTCATTGTGATGGAGGACAAAATTGATCAGCAATTAAGCTCCCAGTAAACTCATGAGCTACAGATACTGATAGCCTCACCACTTACCATAAACCCCTACTAATCTAAGCAATAACATCTATATTAACAATAACAGAAATCTAATTTGAATTTTTGCCTTATCTTTTGAATTCATGAGAGCTAATATTTTTTTTTAAACAAATGACTGATATTGATAAACAATTATGGAAATTATAGAAATAATAATTGCATTTTGAAAATAGTTCCAATAAGCAAGATGTCATAAATGCAAATATAATGAAATTTTGTACAAAGATAATGTACACTAAAGATATGATGACTTGTAAAGATAAGCTTGTATCAACTTGTAAATGATAAAGATTAATAATATGGTTTGTTAATTGCGAAGATTCGCAGGTGACCTTGGCTCCATGTAACCTTGACCTTACCTCTTGCTGCCTACACGTCCACGAAAGATCATCTTGAAGTCCTCACACTGCATCGTCACGTCAGACTCAACCACGACCTGAGGATCACAAACACAAACTGCTATTCCACTGCTTTTCTCAATATTGCATAAATTGAACTTTAAGTACAGAAAAAGAGAATTCACACGAGTCAGGACCAATACAATACTTGCATCCACCTCTAAGCAGATATTGTAAACATTCTAGGACCTACTGTCTCAGGCTAGCGCTTTCTTAAGTGCTGTTTTCCAACAAAATTTGGATGATTCTGATGGACTCGAAGGCTGTTGTACTGCATGAGCTTAGCATGAAGTTGTATCGTAACTCCAAAACCCTAGTGGAACAGGGCTCTGATTCTGGCAAAGATATGATGATCATTAAGTTTTCCATAAAAAACAGAGAGTATATCAGAATATGTTGTTAATGTGGGCGAGTCTTTGCTCACTGTTTGTTTGTTTGTTTGTTGTTTAACACCACACTCAGCAATATTCCAGCCATATGACGGTGGTCTGTAAATAATCGAGCCAGACAATCCAGTGATTGACATCATGAGCATCAATCTACACGATTTGGATATGATGACATGCATCAACCAAGTCAGCAAGCCTAACGACCCGATCCCATTAGTCGCCTCTTACGACAAGCAAAGTCACTGAATAATGTCCCAACCATAAGCCTTCATCAGAGTCCACTGCACCACTTGGCATATGTGCTAAAACCTTATCAATCACTTACACTCGAGACGCACAACACAACTCATGACATGACATATGATCCACAGCAGAAAAACACTATACTTAGTTTGTTAGGTGTTTATCACTGACGCCCATCACGACCCCCATACAGCTGCAGTGAGGTGTGCTATGGGAACACATTTGAACAGGTCTAGAAATACCACTGATCTACTGCTCCTCCAACAAAGAAAGACATGAACTGCATGTCCCTGTAACACACCTTAATAGGTTTTCTTCAAATTACCATTGCAAGTATTAATAACCTCATCAATGGATTAACTTCATGAGCACTTCGGGTAATTTATGACTCTTGAAAGTGGAAAACGGGAATATTCTTAATCACAAAAATATCTTATATAAAATACATATTTAAACAATCATCCTAAGATTCATAGGTGGATCACGAGAATCACATCAGTCACAGTTAACGTACACAGATTCCCTTTTTAAAAAAACAACAACATATCATAAAAAATATTTATACTCATGCTCAGGCTGTCTCACATTTTCTAAATATCTGGATGAGATCTAAAAAGTAATTCAATGCCCGTCGGAAAGAGTAACTGCCTTTTATCAAAGGGAATCTACTCTAACCTTAGTCTATGAGAAGTCATGTTGGTTTAGAATCTGCCTGGTCTGTCATAACGTTATTAAGATGTACACACAGTGACAAAATGAAGCAGGGTAACACTTCAGAAATATTTTGAAATATATATCTCTAAAGTTGCCAAATCTTGTTAAATGCCTCAGCTGCGTGCCACTTAGACACTGATTTTCAGTATTTTGGACAATTGTTTTAGTTACAATTATCCGTAGTTTCTCCAGATTCCTGATGGTTAATTCTTTGCTTGAAAGTAGTACCTACATGACCTTTCATATTTGCATCTTTATCCTATATAACCCATATGGATATCATTTTTATCTTTTGGCTTTATCCTGCCGAGAAACCTATTTATTATATGATAAAGCAATATCTCCAAAAAGATATGGCAACAATGAAATTGCATCACAATGCTTTGCAAATCATTGTGACATCATCATTATCATGATGTCACAATCAAATGACATCACTAATCTCTCTGCTACTGAAACTGGTTGGCTGTACTAGTTACACTCAAGACACTGGATACTACAATTTACAAACCGAAACAGCTGGAAAAATGATTTTGGATGATAAATAGAATCTCACCCTCATATATTTCAAGCTCAAATATATGAAGACTTGTTGATAAAAAATAACAATATCCTCAGCCAGCTTCAGATATTTTACCAACTCATCATAATATATTTGATCTCGGAAGACACTTGAGTGAGATTCTCTAGTATCCCACGGAAGACAATTGTTCCTGCCACTCTCCAGTGAGCTTCTCTCCACTAGTCTTAATGCCTACTGACCTGGTAGGTGGACATATTGTCCAGTCCTTTGGGTGGTTGGTTGACGCTGAACCAGGTACAAGGCTTGTGCCCTCCAGGGACTCCCTCCGAAAACTCAAACACTCGGACATTGCGGATGTGCGGTGTCTGCTCGCCCACGTTAAAGGTTGTTAAGGCAAGGCTTTCTGAAACACAAGCGTACAGGCATGACATCACTGCAGACAACAAGTACTGATATTACTCATGTTTGCTAGTTTGATACAGTAAACTACGGTTATAACCAACACGCTTATAACGAACTGAAGGATATAACAAACTTACTTTTGGTCCCGACTATTTGCTGTAGTTATGCTGTATATATGTTTATAACGATCTACGGTTATAACGAACTAAAATTAGTAGTCCCTTTGAGTTCGTTATAACTGTAGTTTACTGTAGTTGCTCAATACCAAACATGAATTTACTGGAGCAGAGTGGAACCACAGTGCCCAGGCTTGTCATCAAAGTCCACTAAAACAATGTGTTTACAATGTGTTCCTGGCTGATTCTGTAGTTTCCGTAGGTTTGTTTGGTCCATGGCCTCATTCCGCAATGCAATCTTAGTGCTACAACTGCCATAACTCTAACATAGTGAGTGAGTGAGTGAGTTGGGTTTAAGCCACATATAACAGTATTCCAGTTATATCGCGGCGTGTCAGCTTAATGTGGGAGGAAAGCCCGAAGTGATGCAGGTTTCAGACGTTTACCACTTCGGTGAAACCCACGAGCACAGGTATGGTGCTGATAAACCTAGGAACATAATTGGGGCGAACCAGGACTCGAACCCACAATCATAGGTTTAGCAGTTTAGTGTCCTTTGGTGCGCACCGACGTTCTTTAGTACACATTGTTCTTTCTTTTCATATGATGTCTTTACGTAACATTTGACTACTGTATTGCATACTTCTGTCCCTTATTTCAACTTTCTATTTTTTTACCGAATGGCCACCCATACATTACGCAACTGTAATATTGGTGACTAAAAACAACTTTCCGTCATTCACTCACTCATCATCTAGAGATATAACAGTTGAGTTTTCCTCGACTTTGAACAGTATTACAGTACTATCATGGCATGACAGCTATTGGTTGAGGAAAGCCTGAAGTGACGCTGATCGTAGACAACCCCACTGAGCAAAAGTATGGTGCTGACAAACCTAGGATCATAATCAGGGCGAATGTGAAATCAAACCCATGATACACGCAAAACCAAAGGACCCAACTCTGCACACGATACTTAGGTATAGATCGTAACCATGGTGACAAACAAACCAAACAAATCAGCATGTAATTCAAATATTAGCTGTAATCCCCTAAAATACATTGTGAGGCCTGGCTGGTTGCCGTCAATCACCGATAACATGTATTATAGCTCATGCTCTCAATTCATTACAAGATGTGTAATAATCTTTCTGTCCCTCACTCACTCAAATGAGAACAGCATTGTATGTGTTAAAGTCATCCATATGCACTAGGTGGTGACAAAGTAGACACAACTGATGGATAACAATTTCTTTCTTTTATGGACTATACATTTCGGTATGGACCCTTATGCCCTTGTCAAGTTAGGAATTATGGTGTACATTAAAGAAGTGTTCTCCATAAATTGTGTCTTCTTTGTCATCTGTCAACATCTAAGGAATGCCCAAACTATGTGGGGTGTTGCATTGTGTATAGTTCACTTGGTTTGAGTCTCGCTGCGTGCAGACATGTTGTGACAGCTGAAGAAGAAGCCATTGCTGCATTACCCTTGATATGACAGTGGAATGACATGAACTAAACAGACCAAACTAACTATACTCCTCCCTGTTACATGTGAACAGTTTCTGCAGTCTGTTAGCATAATCAGCATTCCTTACATGATTAATGATATGGGGTAGAATAGGTCTTCAGCAACCCATTGCTTGCCATAAAAGGGGACTATGCTTGTCGTAAAAGGGCACTATGCTTGCCGTAGGAGGCGACTAACGGTATCAGGTGGTCAGGCTTGCTGACTTGGTTGATATATGACATTGTATCCCAACTGCATAGATGCTCATGATATCAATCACTGGGTTGTCTGGTCCAGACTCGATTATCTTCAGACTGCCGTCATACAGCTGGAATATTGCTGAGTGTGGTGTTAAACAAGAAACAAACAAACAATCAAGATTGAAAATCAGATTTGGTTAGTAGAAAGACAAACCGAGGGATGTAAGCAAAATTCAATAAATTTCCACTTAAACATTTCTGCCTTCAAACTTATGTAATGACAAATATCCAGTCAACATCATAGATAATTTGTTTATCATACACTTACAGTGCCTTTGTTAACAATTTCACTCTTATACTCATACATTTGTAACCAATAACAAACTTTTTCCATGTCCATAAATATTGGTGGCAGTGGATGAGAGAATTAATGAATTAGTCAACAATATTTCAGTAATAATAAGATGGCCTGTAAATAATCAAATCTGGGCGAGGCAAACCATTGGTTGATATCACAAGCATTGCACATTATCTCAGCTACCAAATGCCAGCAAGACAGCTCCGACTTCATGCATGGGACACTGGAGAGTGGACACTTGGAGTGGACACCAGGAAGTTATTCTGCTCCAGAATCCCCAAAGGACAATTATCCATGTCCAACTGCACTACCATAACACATGTGCTAAAATTGTCATAGCACACCAAGACCGCACACAAAAACAGCTGACTTTGTGTTGACATAACTCCGTGTCTAAATTACCCCATCAAACCCTTCCGGCGTGTCAACAGACATTGTAAATCATATTTATAAACATCAAAGTGATAGCCATGTAGCTAATATATAGAGAGCTGGAACAGTGATAGCACGTGATGCAAAAACAGATGCAACACCCCACTGTAATCAGCAACAAAATCATAAGCCCTTCCTGGTTGTATTGTTAAAAATCCATGTATTTTAAACCATATTTTAACATCTGATCTCTAGTAACCATGACCTTATGTATAAATTACCAAAACTTTGATACAATTCAGACCACACCTGATCAAAAGCCAATCATATTTTTTTTTAATAATCGCCAGTTCACACTGAGTGACCTTGACCTTCAATGCCATCTAATCACATGCAAAAACATAACTTGTTGCACACTTAGATGGTATTCCAAATATAAAGTCTCTTTATCACACTGATAAAACTTTCTGAATAAAACAATTTAAAAGCAATTTCATGAGTTATTGACCTTCAAAGTGACCTTTACATTTGACACAACCATGACATATTACAGGCATGGAGTTCATATTTATAGTCTGTCATAAATGACTGGAAAATGTACAGATTAGTTGGTCGCCTCTTACGACAAGCATGGGTTGCTGAAGACCTATTCTACCCCGAATCCTGGTGACCTCGACCTCACACAGATGTCACTAAAAGGCGATCAAGAACCTCCCTGAGAGATCATGATTATCAAATTTCATTAAATTCCATTCATAAATACACACATTCTCGGGTCCACAAGCTTTTACGATGTCTATTTTTGTCACTTGTGACCTTGACCTTCAATGTCGTTAAATCATATGGCAGAAGAATTCCCTAGGGGTATATAAGAGGTATATCAGGCATGTAATCTAACATCCATCACTAGCTCACTGTCAAGGAAACCAACTGCAGCGGCATTACAGGGACATGCTCAATAAGGATAACAAATAATTTGAGTGAGTTGGGTTTAATGCCACTTTTAACAGTATTCCAGTTATATCGCGGCGTGTCAGCTTGATGTGGGAGGAAAGCCCGAAGAGATGCAGGTCTCAGATGCTTAGCACTTCATTGAAACCCACAAACACAGGTATGGTGCTGATAACCTAGAAACATAATTGGGGCGAACCGGGATTCGAACCCACAATCATAGGTCTCTGGCATGCCCAAGGGATGCAACTCTGCACAGTGAATCACGGCACCTTAGACGACTGGGCCACCTGTGCCCCCAACAAATTTGGATGGCAGAAATCCATTAACATTTGTCAAAGCTATTGTTTTTAAAATTTCTAAAAAGTTTTAATAACTTTCATGTGACCGCTCAGCTCATTCATATTGACCAATTTGGCTGAATGAAATTCTTTCATGATTAACATGATTAATAATCAATAAATTAAAATATCCATCACCATATAATTATATACATGTATACACATGTATATGATCAGGAACCAACTACTTCAACACATGCACATGGATTCTATAACTTTTTACATTTATTTTACATTTTACACAAAACGCACAAGATGAATCCACTAGTACAAAAGCCTGAGTCTAGTAAAAGTCAGATCAGTCTAGCAAGCTGAGCTAATAATAGTTAATATAATAACACTAAAGTCTACAGCAAATGATGTTAAGAGCCATGTTTGCACAAGTAGACTTAAAAGATTTTGGCACAGACTGCTTACACAGATAAAAGTATACACCTGACTTCCTACAACCTATACTATATAGTGTTGGATATACAAGAAAATGCCATGCTGCCACCTGGACCCACAGACTTTAGAAGCTGCAGGCCCAAACTAAGTTCTTTAGGCCCTCATTCGAAACACAGCAGCTTACTGTGACAAATAAATCAACACATAAACTTACTGCCAGCGATAAGGAACCTTACAAACCTCCAGTGACATCAGCCTATTGTTCTAGTCGAGTTATATCTCACAAACAGGGATGTTATATTATCCCCAGGATTTGTTATAATATCCTTGGGATTTTATATAATACCAGGGTATGAAACTCCAAAAATTTCAGCCAGACCACAGGACTGGCTAGCTGAAATACTTGCCAGCCCTGACCAAAACCTGCCTGCCCACTATAGTCATATGTTTCTCAGGATAATTTAATTAAAACTTTAAATCGAATTCATTGAACATGAAGTAATGCAAGAAAAGAAATAGCAAACACTTTTTAGGTTAGATTTGTATTTAATATCCTAGAATACATCATGTAAATAATGCTTATCATCCGGAAATATTTAGAATATTTTTACATATGAAATATAACCCGACCGTCGGGCAGGGGGATTTGAAAATCTGGCAGCCCGAGTTGAAATCAACCCGTCTCGGACGGTCGGGCAGGCAGGTATTTCAAACACTGATAATACAACTTCCGTTTAGATTGTAACATAAGAATGTTTCTCGTTGG